GAAATTTGAAACAGATATATTTTTGTTGCCTCCCAATACACCCGATCCAGCAATATATGTATTAAGTGGTGTGTTACCAATTGAGGCTCAAATTCATATCAAGACATTGAATTTTTATAACAATGTATGTAATCAGAGTGAAACTTATTGAAAAACAACTATCTACTTACCGAAAAATCCACTGATGGATAGCAATAATTGGTTTATCAAAATAGAAAAGTTAATATATCAATATGATTTGGATACTCACTGCATACTCTTATTTAGAAACCCTATACAAAAGGACATCTTGAACAAATGGTGAAAGAAAGGGTTGCGGCAAAAAGTTGGATCCGTAAAGTTTTGTCTCTCATACCTTTATATCATGGGCTGAGATATCTAAGCTATCAAAATTATTGGCCAGGGAAAATACATCCACTATTAAAGATCAAACAACCAATTAACAAGGGAATTAACCAGGAATTGAATACCCATAAAACTAAAGATGCCCACTGATACCTACATTTTACAATCATTAAGAATCAAACTATACAGCGAGTCAAGGAAATGTCTGTGTAGCCTGTGATGATACCGTAGAAACTATAGAACACTGTCTAATTTTTGGCTGTGAATCCATAGATTATATAATACCAATGATTCTATCTGGAAATCTGGAAGAGGATAAATAAGATATAATGAACAAGATTATATATAAACGGCCTTCAATTGCTCAGGCGGAAACCCAGTTGAAATAGAACAAAAGAATCGAAGCTCTTTGTTAGAGAAGGCGATAAATGCTTACTGTAATGTTTACTGTAGTAACACAAATTTTAAAAGTTAATAGAAACAAATAAAATGACAGTTTTTTGCTAAATTACGAAATATTTTATCATAAAAACACAATTTGCATAAGTTTTCAATTTATCTATTACATAATTAAGCAGAACAATTAGATATCAAGTCGAAGACATGGGTGTTTATTAAGTTGGATCTAAAAAATGCATAACCTCCGATTTTTCAAGAAAATTTACCACGGACGGAGAACATATCAATCTATTTGTTCCTTAATTTTCGTTTCTGCCCTTCCATTATGTGACTCAAGAAAAAATTCCAAAAAAATGGGTAACAATTGCATCGAAAAGAGAAAATCGAGTGCACCTTTTTATGTTAGGGCGTGTTTGAGTTGAATATTTTGTCTTGAAAACGTAAATAGCAAAAGCATTTGATACATCATCTCGCTTCAGATTCTATCATTTTTATATATCAATGCTACAGGTTAACTTTAAAACATCGAAAATTCACAGTACTAAAAAAATGAAATATATAGGTCAAGTGAAATACCCTTCTAATGAATCATAAAAACAGAGTAGGTGTGTTCGAATAGCAAATTTTTACTAAAAGTACTTGACGACAGACTTTTAAGTTGGATCTTAAAAATGCATATCTTCGAAAAAACTTCATTTTTTGTGTGTGATATCTAGGGTTTAAAGTCTTCAACCACTGAAAATTTTTAGTCTGCCCTTCCACGAAATATTGAATTAGAATTTTTATAAATGTTTATGAATTTTCGAAAATTCCACCTGACAACCGATCAGACAATAGTTTTAAGTTGACTGAATGCAGACAAGTACATTAACTGATGCCCATTAGCTAGTAGATACATTTGTCTTTTAAAATACAACTGGCATATAAGGATCGTAATGGTGCTATGCGGATAAATTTATCGGTTTTCAAGAGCTAAATTGGCAGCGCGTCATCCCTACAATGGCTTCCATTTTTACGATTGTAAAAATGAACTGGCGTAATGGGGAGATAATTTTGACGAAGTAGAATCCTGACTGTGCTGGACAAATACATTTACAAACTGATAAATCAGATTGAAAGGTCCCTGCGTAAGAGCAATTGAGAACACATGGAATAAGTGGAAATCAGTTGAATTATGAAAGACAGTTTGAAACCACAAAAAAATTGCCATAGGTCCATATGCCCCAAATGTCAGATTTGGGGCCGGAAAACAGTTTGTTGACGGCCGTAAAAAAAATGGTATCTTCCGCCTCATTCAGTTTCAAATTTTATAACAAGACTACAAAATACTGCATAGAATACTCAAGGCCGGGCAACACAATGCACCAACCCCACAAAAAAACTGGGATTGATCTCAGGTGCGCCGGTAGGGTAAACAGATCTTGCTCCAATAGGGGCACCCGGAATCCGGGTCCGTTCGCCCAAATCACGTTCGCTCCCATTCACGTTCGCCCCTTTTCACGTTCGCACCCCATACGTTCGCACCCTTTTTATTTGGTTCGTGATGAATAATTTTTTAATCGTGTTTTAGTTAGGGTATTGCTATCAATAAGCTTAAAGTTTTTTTTTATTGTTTCAATATAAGTGACATTCTAAAAACGTAAACAGGTTTCCTTTAGTGTATTATTAGACCTAATTATTTTGACGAAATGAATAATGAATAAAAATTTGTCATGATGATCAAGGAAAATTTCATTCATCTAAGACTTGTAAAAGAAAGGCAGAAGATACAAAACGGCTATCAAACTCGTCACAGTGACATTGCCACGACAACAACGAATAACACAAAAACCGAGACACAAAGCACATGTGTTTAAATGTGTTCATGGTGTTGCATGCTAGCTGAGACTACTATAACACATATGTGTTATAGTAGTCTCAGATGTTAGCTATAAGTACCCCCAGAATATTTATTTCCATGTGTAAAGAAGATTTGAAGGTACCATGCAACGAGGATGGTAAAGCACAGGCACTTGTCTCAGAATTTTTCCCCCCTATATACCTTAGTGTTATATTAAGGTATATAGGTAATTTTTTTCTGAGACAAGTGCCTGTGTGGTAAAGGTATTTCGTGCAACGTGTTTTGCCATTTTTATTTCACGTGCAGCCGTGAAAAAAGTTCGTTATTTACCGTGTCTCGTGAAATCGGTAAAAAGATCAACGTGCAAGAAATTTTTAATTGTTCGTTCATCGTTAAATGGCAATTTTATTTCGCGTTCTTCCGTGCAGATACACCTCCCTCCCATTTTACGCCACTCTGCAACATATGTACTCTTTCCAATAAAATATTGAATTAGATTAAATTCCCGAATTTTTATTCTTTATATATATAAATCTAAAATAAATCTAATTATTCAACCGGTATTTGAATAAAAAATAGTGTGCGAACGGACCCAAGTATCGAACATGTGGGGTTCGAACTAGCCTGGCATCCCAGGGGCGGATCCAGGATTTTGGAAAGGGGGGGCGTAGTATTAAAGTTTGCCGAGCGGAGCGAGGCGAAAAAAATTTTGGACCTTTTTTTGCCTAAAAAAAATAAAATAAGTGTAAAATGCATTTTATAGTTAAAGTGTAGGGGGTAGATATTTTTGGTGCCGTATTCTCTCCATCAATTGTCTATTATGAAATGATTGGATGAATCCAAAGCTATGTACTAATTAATATATTTGATGTGGGATTTGTCAGTAAAAAATGGACATGGAAAATTCTCGTTTGTTGTATGGTTAGTTAGCATAACCTCACAGATTTCTTGTTGTAAACAAGATATACGGCTATTCAATGAAATTTTCAATACGACCGACACGAAGAAAGACAAACAAGCAATTTTCATCCAAATGTTTGGTTGAAATGTTTCACCTAACAAGGGAAGCGAGGGGTTCCAAATGAACTAAAGGCTACGAATGAGTCGGAAATGACAATGAAGTTGTGAATGACGGTCGACACATGGAGACATATAGGCCACACCCAGCAGGCAGGTTGCAGTCGGGCTTTGAAAAAAGTATTCAGTATATCAGTTCGACGAAACAGACATTCCGGTCAGATATGGGATTCACATGCAACCCCCAAAAAAAATTTCGCCCGTTTTTTATTCATCATGTTTATCTAATGCTAAATAATTCTGTTGAAAATATTTTTTTCTAATAGCAAAAGTGGACAAGATTATTGTTTTCAATCCAGATACGGCCAGAATTTTTGTTTAAGGCAAAAATCCGGGTCAGAATTTTTTCTCTAAAATATCTCAGACTGCCCCCTCAGATCAAATGGTCCGTACCTTAGACTTTAAATCTATATCTAGAGCTTACTGACTGGGGTCACTATTCAGCAATGTTATTAATGGGCTGGGGCGTGTGGGGTTAAACATGTTTTCGTAGGTAAATAATATTGCTGTGGAACTTTTTTTTCATTAGAGTGTAATAGAGTATTACTTTCTGTTGGGTTGGATTGTGAAATAGAAGTCAATACGTTCTTGCTCAATACTTTGTCGCTTTGAAGGCGTCATGCTTGTCATCCTCAGCCTAAGCAATGTGTTACTGTAATTTGAATTTCAAAATGACTGAGTGACGTTTTTTTCGACGAACTGGTCAACTCCACAGTAGAGAATCACATGACTTTGACATAATCAATAATATATTACAGTAAATACGAGCGAACAATATCTTTATAAGTAAAGAATTGTCGCATAAAAATTAAATACACGGGAAATGGCAAAGTTCACGAAGTCTAGTCTGATTAATCATTTTACAAAAAAAAAAAAGTGCAAGCAAAGGTGGGGCGTACGCCCTCTACGCCCCCCTCTGGATCCGCCACTGCATCCTGACCCAATCTAATACTTCGTCGATAGGCAAGCAGTTGGCCAGGATCCCAGGCTAGGATGCGAACGTGTATTGGGCGCGAACGGCCGATACCTGGCACCCGTAATGACAATAGCACACATGACAAGCGATAATTTATTTGGAATATTTTTATGCATTTATAATATAATTAACTGATGCAGCGTTCGTTTATTTTGAAAATAAAACTTAGAACATGTTTCCCCTTCTAACATGTCAAAACAATGTAACCCGAATAATCCAGTCGTTATATTACGCTCCCTAACGATCACTACATTAACTGGAGGACAATGACCGTAAGGGGGCGCTGTAATTATTCGAGTTAAAAACAATGATGCAATGTAAACAAAAATCCGATTGGTTCTTCAAGATCACGCGACGCACACACCTCCGGAAATTTGTTTCAAGGTCAATTTTAACAATAAAAATATCGATAATAACAAGCAGTGAAGTCAGAAAGTTTAGATTGCAAGGTATTTAAGAGGAAAATAAGCCACAAACTTCATAAGAAACAAAGATGCTGCGTTCTGTGTCAACAGAAATGCTCCGCACAGTCCCCAGATTTGATCTGAAGGCAACTCTTTCGAAGTCGAAAGGTATCTTGTCAGCAAGTCGCCCGTTTTCAACTGACCCAGTCCAAGATGAAGATAACTTGACCTTCTCACAGACTGTTGACAAGTTTTACGACAAGGCAGCGACACTCCTCGAAGAAAAACTGGTGGACAACATGAAAGGCAAACTCTCAAAGGAAGATAAAAGGAAGAAAGTGAGGGGAATCTTGAAAATTATCAAACCTTGCAATCACATGGTAGAAATCAGTTTCCCTCTTCGCCGTGACAATGGGGAGTATGAAATGATAGAGGCTTGGAGAGCTCAACACAGTCAGCACAGAACACCATGCAAAGGAGGTAACATGTTTGGTCATATCATATGTGTATGTAACAGCCACTATGTTCCATCATCAGTTACTTTGTTCCGGCGGAACTTTTCAACTAGTTATTTCGTTCAGATGGAACTTTCCAACTAGTTCTTTTATTCCGAGTGCAGTCAAAAAGTTCTGGAAAAAAGTAGCTAGTTGAAAAGGCCCGGAACAATGTATAGCTAGTTGAATAGTTCTGGCGGAATAGAACAACTAGTTACATCGTTCTGAATATACCATATTTCGTCCTTTTTGTAGAAAGAGGGGGAAGAATGAGTAGCAGTATGTATAAGAGCAAATCATTAATTTACAAGAATACCCAACTCATTGAAAGGGGTTTCTTTGGGGACAAATATGCAAAATTTAAGTTGTATTTCATAGTTCACATAAAACGGAATAAGTTATATTATCTTGCAAATTTAATATTCATAGTACCCTCAAGAGAGGGAAGAATACCCCCCTCCTCATGTGGTTCTTTGCATCAATTCTCCAAATGGAACTTTGTGACTGGTTGATAAGTTCCGTTCGAACTTTTGGGCTAGTTTGTTAGTTCTGGTTTTGACTTATTTGCCAAAGAGGAACTTTGTGGTTAGTTGATAAGTTCCTTTTGACTTTTGTAATCAGTATCTTGGTTTCCCTTTGAAAGGTTCAAATATAATATGTTGCGTTTTTACTTTGCATCAGTTCTCCAAATGGAACTTTCTGCCTGGTTGATAAGTTCCGTTGGAACTTTTGGGCTAGTTTGTTAGTTCCGGTTTTGACTAATTTGGCAAAAAGGAACTTTCTAACTAGTTGATATGTTCCGTTGGAACTTTTCAACTAGTCAATTTGGTCCGGTGGAACTTTTAAACCAGAGGAAGAACAAAGTAACTAGTTAATAAGTTACTCCGGAACTTTTCGGCTAGTTAGTTCTTTCCGCCCGGAACTTTCCAAAGTCGGAACAAAAGAGCATTTACATGTACACATTGTTTAAGGTTCATCATAACAAATGGACAAATATGGCTGTAATTTACACCTCAAAAACTACTCTGTGTACAGACTTACCTGTGCAGTTTGGAAAGTTTTAAGGCCTGGCATCCACTAGATATATAAAAGTTAAATGCATTTTGTGTTTCAATAAGATAAAATCTTTTTTGGATTTTGAATTTTATAGGCATTTTTTTCTGTTCCTGCGGAAGGTGTAAAAATAAACTTAAGTTGGGTAAATCTTTGAGATGCTCCCTCTCAGGTAACAACTGTATTGCATTGTATTGATTATCCTCGATTGGCATGACCAATAGATATCTACACAATAATAGGTGAGTTAAAGGGTGTAACTGAGTGGACAGTATCAATTTAGGTGTTTGTTTATTTTTACACCAACAGCAGGAACGAAAAAAATGCCCATCAAAATCCAAAAAAGATTTTATCTTTCTGAAACACAAAATGCATTTAACTTTTATATATCTAGTGGATGCCAGGCCTTAAAACTTTTCAAACTGCACAGGTAAGTCTGTACACAGAGTAGTTTTTGAGGTGTAAATACAGCCGTATTTGTCCGTTTGTTATGATGAACTTCAAATGTACTTCAATTACTCTAATCATTTACTTTGCTTTTTTGAATTATATTACAACTTATCGCTATTTGTCCGCCATTACTGGACATCACAAAGGTTCCCTCCCGTGGAAAGGTTCCCTCCTGTAAATTTTGACGTCATAATAAAAAATGTCTGATGCCACAATAGAAAAGTGATTGTTGTATGGCGTCCATAGTTCAAGTGGCGCAGATTCTCGGGTCAAGTGTCGCAGATTCCGAAATAGCGATATGGTCTATTCATTTGATTGTATTGCTCTAACTTTGGGCAAATATTAGGCACCCTGATTGGTTAATAAAAATATCTGATCTTGTTTATTACTGCTGTACAATTCTGGGCTCAGTCTTACATGGTGCTGGCTGGTAATTTCTTTTGTTCGGTACATATGCTCATTTTATGTGACGTTAACATAATGAACAGACTTACCGAAATAACAAACTAACCTGACTTGGTGGTAGATAATATCCCTATTTAGTTATGAAATGCCCTGATTTAAGGAAAGATTTTATGTATACAGTGTAATCCAACTGAAAAAAGACCAACAAACTTGCCCCACTGATAAAAATTATTACTGATTGCAGTAAAGGTAAATCTCAATTATCAATAAATTTATCATAGATACCAGGATTAAAATTTTGTAAGTTTTGTCTCCAAAACACTCGCTTGAAACAAAAAAATTAAAAAGGCCAAATAAAGTTTGAAGTTGAAGAGCAATGAGGACCCAAAATTCTGAAAAGTTTTGCGAAATTACAGGTAGCATATTTTTACCAGGTGAGCGATACATGCTCGCATAAGCCATTTGGTTTTAAAAAAATATTTGCAATATGAATTAGATTGCTTGATTGATTGTTGGTTGCTTAATGTCCAGTGCACTATGAATTAACCCACAGTGGCAGATTTGATGGTGAAGTCTGCAGTATTCCATTCTCTCATGGTCCTACAAATGTATATAAAAATAAAGAGATGAGGTATGATTGCCAATGAGACAACTATCCACTATAGTTCAAATAAAGTGGATGTTAGCAATTGTAGGCAACCTTACATCCTTCAACAACGAGAAAAACCCATACCGTATAGTCAACTATAAAAGGCCTAACATGAACGAAAAACAAATATGTAACACATAAACAAACGACAACCACTGAATTACAGGCTCTTGACTTAGGACAGGCACATACATACAGAATGTGGCGGGGTTAAACATGTTAGCGGGATCCCAACCCTCCCCCTAAACTGGGACAGTGGTGTAACAGTACAACATAAGAACGAACTATAAAAATCAGTTGAAAGAGGCTTAACTCATCAAATGGATAAAAATATTTTTATATAAATATGTTAAACATGTTTGTGAGCGCTCAACCGTCCCCTAACCTGGGACAGTGGTGTACATGTAACAGCACGACATAAGAACAAACTATAAAAATCAGTTGAAGAAGGCTTAACTCATCACATCGATTCAAAGCAGAAAAACATCAAACATAAACACAGACTGGACGTGGCAGGGTATTTATCCATCCCTCATCCCTAGTAACAAAAAGGACTAGACAAAATGGCTTTTGAAAATACTCAGATTTACACTGGTATTTGAACATGTTGAATGCTGTTACCATTTGAATGTCTTGTCTGTCTGTATTGTGGTATAAGTCTGTTTGTATTGTGGTATGAGTCTGTCTGTATTGTGGTATGAGTCTGACTGTATTGTGGTATGAGTCTGTCTGTATTGTGGTATAAATCTGTCTGTATTGTGGTATGAGTCTGTCTGTATTGTGGTATGAGTCTGACTGTATTGTGGTACACATGTATAAATCTGACTGTATTGTGGTATAAGTCTCACTGTCTGATTGTATTGTGGTATGAGTCTGTCTGTATTGTGGTGTCATAGAATATAAGTTCCACCATAATATTTATTCCAAAGATAATTTGTTATGTAACAAAAGTTCCAATTGGAATAAATGTTATGTGATATTTATTCCATAAGCATAATAAAAGGACCGATGCCTAGGAAGTTTTATTACATAATAAATTATCTTTGGAATAAATATTATGGTGGAAAACATTCAAAAAGCACAATAAAAGGACCGATGCCTCGGAATTTTTATCACATAAAATAAATTCCAATAGGAAGTTTTATTACATAGTAAATTATCTTTGGAATAAATATTATGGTGGAAAATATTCAATAAGCATTATAAAAGGACGGATGCCTCAGAATATTTATCACATAAAATAAATTCCAATAGGAAGTTTTATTACATAATAAATTATTCTATTTTTTTGCCAGTTAAACCCTTTATCCCTAGGTGTTATTATGGTATGGTGAAAGTATTATGTATTATCTATTGCAAACAAAAATAAATTTATTTAGAAATATATATATATTTTTCTATTAGGAAAAAGTATTATGTAATATATATTCCGAAAGAAAAAAAATTATTATGTAATATCAATTCCAAAAGGAAAAAGTATTAGGTTATATCTAGTGTAAAAGGAATAAATATCATGTAATATCTATTCAGAATGTAAAAAATATTATGTAATATTCATTCATATTGAAAAAAGTATCATGTAATATTTATTCCGATTGGAAAAAGTATTATGTAATATTTATTCCGTTTGGTAAAAGTATCATGTAATATTTATTCCGATTGGAAAAAGTATTATGTAATATTTATTCCAATCGGATAAAATATTATGTAATATTTATACCGATTGGAAATAAGTATTATTTTATATTTATTCCGATTGGAAAAAGTATTATGTAATATCTTTTCCGACCCAAAAATATTATTACGTTCTATCTATTACTAATGCCAGAATGGTAAATTAGTATTTACAATTATTATTCTGATATACTATAGTAGAAATAATACTGGTGAAAGAACATGTATCGTGAATATGGGAAATAATTGATCACAATGTTGTAGACATTAAATAATCATTTCAAATTATCCACAATTACTGGCATGCATATTTAACATTTAAATGATATTTGTCTTATTAGAATTAACATTTATATTTCATAGCTGAACATGTCAAAATATTTACTTATCTTCAACATAAGTTCCATCATTTAAGAACATAAATATTTTCTCATACTCATCAGCCTCCATGTTTATACATTCAGGTGTTGTGTACAGGTGAATATCTAACTCACTAACACTTTTCAATTTACGTAATTATCATATAATCAGCATTTAAAACCTGTTTTGATTTTGATAATAATCACTCAGGTGTAAACTTTAAACTTCAGCATACTAGGAACATTTGTTATACTCATCAACATATAAGATATAAGTTCCTAATATCAGTGGAACAAATATAATACAGTTGGAAGAAGTATTCCATGACCGAATTTCCGCACAACAAATATTATTATGATATTGTTTCCCCCAGGAACAAATATTATTAGGAACAAATATACGCTGACAGTGGTATGAGTCTGTCTGTATTGTGGTATAAGTCTGTCTGTATTGCAGTATAAGACTGTCTATATTGTGGTATCAGTCTGTCTTTCTGTATTGTAGTATAAGTCTGTATGCGTTGTGGTAGAAGTCTGTCATTATTGTGGTATGAGTCTGTCTATATTATAAATGATATATGGCTATATGTACACAATCAAAAAATTTCTCTTTCAATACTTTGGTAAATAAGGAAATTTTGAAACTAAATGTTTTTAAGTTGATTATAAAATTTATCAAACAAAAAGACAGGCTTTTGATATAGTTTTTCATCCTAAGTATATTATGACATATCTGTTTCAATATCAGAATTTCAATGCATTAATACATGTAGGTACAAAATAGCATTGACTATTGTCTATTTCACTCATTTCATAAATAAGTATTACTATACAATGCAGCCACTACTGCAATTTTGTGTCGTACTTTCAACTTTGTGCAGATTGGTTTTAAATAACTTTACGTTTAGTGTAAATTCTTTACAGCACTGAGACTCAGAACTTTGGGAAACAAAGCTACTCTGGAAATTAAAAGTATGGTCATGTTTGTCAATTGATAATCTTAACATGTTACATCATGTACATTTGCACATTTTAATTAACAAGGTGTTAAGAGCTTGAATAAGTGATATGAAAAACAATTCATTGTATTTTCTTTTCCTTGTCTTCAAAAGGTATAAGATACAGTCCTCTAGTAGATGAAGATGAAGTGAAGGCCTTAGCTGCACTTATGACGTATAAATGTGCTGTAGTTGATGTACCTTTTGGTGGTGCTAAAGCAGGAGTTAAAATTAATCCAAATGATTACTCTGAGAAGGAGCTGGAAAAGATTACTCGTAGATTGACTGTGGAACTAGCAAAGAAAGGATTTATAGGTATGACAATGGAAGAAAAAAATATCTGAAAGTGTTATAAAACTTAAACATCACTCTGTTCACATTTTGTATCAGAATATTGAATTTTAACACAAATATTTATGTTAGTTTAAATTTGTTGTTCTGCATCTGTAGCTTTCTCCATGGTAAAGACATGATTATAGAGCACTTCCTATTTTGATGAAAGTTTTTAATTTAGCTTTAGGGATTTCTATAACAAAACTATTTTCTGCCTAACTGGAGAGCAGACAACCTTGTTTTGTCTCACTTTAAAGTGTTGTGGGGAACATAGAAATAGTGCTGATCTTTTATTTTTACACCTGAGTTATGTCTCTCTTAAATGTGATTTATATTAAACATTGCACTGTAAGAACTCTCACACCAGCATTTCTTGTCATATTTTTATATAGTTTGTAGAAAAAGCTTTTATTGGTAAGGTCTTTGAAGAGTGATGACCAACTTTTTTACAGAGTTAATCCCCTTGGGAATAGAAATATATGGAAAATAACACTGTTAGTGATTTCATGCCCACATTTCTTGTAAGATATTTATTAAAAAGTTGAAAGAATTTTTTTTTTAAGTAAAAGCCCTTGGACAGATACAATATGTTCAACACAGGTGACACTGGAACTCTTTAAAACAATTTCCAAAATATTCTCAGTTGAAATTTTCAGAATACCATAAAATGTCCTCTCTGATATTGTTGAACTTTTTATATTACCAGTAATTTCATGCATGAATAGTTTATTTTTGTCCGAAAATAGAAATAAAAGAAATTACAGATTTTTTAAGTGTGAAACTCTATTATCTATCCATTATAAATAAGAAGATGTGGAATGAGTGCCAATGAGACAACTCTCCATCCAAGTCACAATGTATAAAAAGGTAACAATTATAGGTTAAAGTACGGCCTTCAACATGGAGCCTTGGCTCACACCAAACAGCAAACTATAAAGGGCCCCAAAATGACTAGTGTAAATCAATTCAAACAGGAAAACCAACAGTCTATATAAATAAGAAGATGTGGTATGAGTGCCAATGAGACAACTATCCATCCAAGTCACAATGTGTAAAAAGTAAACAATTATAGGTCAAAGTACGGCCTTCAATAATCCATATAAAAAACGAGAAACAACTATGAACCACACCAACAAACGACAACCACTGAACAACAGGCTCCTGACTTGGGACAGGTGCAGAAAAATGCATTGTTTTTTCACATCTGTCCATTTTGTTATTTAGGACCTGGCATTGATGTACCTGCACCAGATATGGGAACAGGAGAACGGGAGATGAGTTGGATTGCTGATACCTACTCTAATACATTAGGTTAGTTCTCCATCTTAAAACTTTTTTTATTTTTTCTCAAAATTTTCCTTATTCTTATTAGAATATATAAATGATATATGCATAATGTAGACATTTATTGTAATAGAAAATTATTCAGTCTAATTCTGTTATATCTGACTGAAATATTATGTTACCATATCAGGATATTTTTTTTAAATTTTGATGAAATAAATACATCTAGTAAATTAAAATTATTGTAATAACTGAAACAGGAATGTGCTTGTAAAAAACATTTTATTAAAATAAAGTATGTCAATAAAGGTTTTGATTTTGTAAATATTACTGGTATATTTAACGACCATTCTGTTAAAGAACAAATTCCTGGATATTTTGATAATACTGAACTCCCTCTTATTTGTTATATTTACAAGAAATCTACCCGGAAATTTGTGTTTAATTATAGCCAAGTCTGTAAAGATGTAAATATCAGTGAAAATACACCTACGTCATGTAATTGTAGTAATTCGGAATACACTTATGGCCCCATTTCCCATGTTATAACAGGAGACCTTAACATTGTTTGCGACCAAGAGTTAAAATCATTCCTCAGTAAAGGACCTAAATATCGCCCCCCGTCAATTATTAATTGGAATGAGTGTCGTAATATCATCGACGACTCACTTCGTTCTTACTGTTTGAAATGGATAAAACGGGAAAAAGCTGACAAAAAATCTTTGGACTTTATTTTTAATTCAGTAATGAAGATAGTTGATATACGTATACAACATTTTAAAGAACATTTTACTCTTAACAACAACCATAAAAATCCTATTTCTCGTATCAAACATAAACTTAAAGAACTAGCCAAGGAATTTGTTTTTGTCCCGGCTGATAAAGCTGCTAATAATATCATTATAGTTTGACGTAAATTTTACATTGAGGTTCTGCAAAAGGAAATCACGAATTCACCAACATTCCAACTGACTTCATTTTCAGAAAAAGATATATGTAACAAACATAAACTATTAGCTACTTCTTTACAAGCAGAACCAAATACAATGAAAGTCCCAACTATGTACCGGCTTCCGAAGCTACACAAATCACCTGACAAATATAGATTTATTACGTCTTCAAGTCATTGTTCCACTACTAAATTGTCTATTCTACTTACTAGTACACTTGGTACAATCGTAAAAACCTGATAATAAATTGTTCAAATAAGGCCTTTGAAAATAGTGGAATTAATTACTTTTGGAGTGTCAAAAACTCATTGGAAGTACTTGATAAATTGCATGCATATATTGGTGATTTTGAATCTGTTCAAAGTTTTGATTTTTCTACCCTATATAGCACTTTGCCTCATATTCTTATTAAGAAAAAATTCACACACCTAATTAAATGGGCATTTAAAAAGTCGGAATGCGAATACATATGTTCAAACTCTTTTAGGTCATTTTTTAGTAGCAACAAACAAAAGAACTATGTCAATTGGACATGCTTTGATACTATATCTGCCCTTGAATTTTAACTTGATAACATTTTTGTTAGCTTTGGAGATTCCGTATATCGTCAAGTTATCGGGATTCCAATGGGGACTAACTGTGCACCACTTATTGCGGACCTGTTTTTGTATTGTTATGAGTTACAATTTATGACTAAAATCAGCAAAGACCCATTGAAACAACATCTGATACAAAAATTTAACAATACTTTTAGATATTTGGATGATATATTGGCTCTCAATAATGAGGACTTCAGTATGTATACTAAAGAAATTTAATCCGTTGAACTTACTTTAAATAAAGCTAATACTAACAATGACCACTAACGGGAAGCTTAATACAAAAATTTATGATAAAAGAGATGATTTTTTATTTCCTATCGTTAATTATCCATTTTTAGATGGTGACGTTCCCTTGTCACCATCTTATGATGTTTATATATCTCAACTTGTACGATTCGCTCGTGTATGTAACAACGTATTAGATTTTAGCGAGAGAAATTTATGTATTACTGAAAAATTATTACACCAGGGTTTTCGATATCATAAACTAGTCAAAACATTTACTAAATTTTATCATCGGTATAAGGACATCATTCGTAAATATAACTCAACATGCAGACATCTTATACGTTCGGGTATTTCACATCCAATCTTTTATGGTAATATTCTTTACAAAGCACAAAAATGTTAGTATTCACCTCAATTGCATATTTTGGCTTTAATATTGATTCACTTATAGGGTCTTTGCATCGGAATTAAACACATTTATTCTAAAACCAGTTGTTGGCATGACACGGGTTATGTTCTTCTCATATATTTTATGACGGTATAATACTAAACCCCTAACAGGAGGGATTGTGCCTGATATTCATATGATGAAATCTTTCAATCAGTTTAATTGAGGTCTGGAGCTAAGACATAATCTTTCAATCAGTTTAATTGAGGTCTGGAGCTGGCATGTCAGTAACTGCTAGTAGTCTGTTGTTATTTATGTATTATTGTCATTTTGTTTATTTTCTTTTGTTTCCTTTTCTGACATCGGACTTGGACTTCTCTTATACTGAGTTTTACTGTGCATACTGTTGTGCGTTTGTTTTTTCTACATTGGCTAGAGGTATAGGGGGAGGGTTGAGATCTCAAAAAACATGTTTAACCCCGCTGCATTTTTGCACCTGTCTCAAGTCAGGAGCCTCTGGCCTTTGTTAGTCTTGTATCATTTTTAATTTTAGTTTCCTGTGTATAATTTGGAGTTTAGTATGACGTCCATTATCACTGAACTAGTATACATATTTGTTTAGGGGCCAGCTGAAGGACGCCTCCAGGTGCGGGAGTTTCTCGCTGCATTGAAGACCCATTGGTGGCCTTCGGCTGTTGTCTGCTCTATGGTCGGGTTGTTGTCTCTTTGACACATTCCCCATTTCCATTCTCAATTTTATTGTAAATTGTAGCTGAAAACATTCTTGTCTAAATATTCCAGTATGATTTGAAATATAATTTTAACTAGATTAAAAGTCTGTTACATTTCTAAATTTTACCTAAATAACATTGCCTTATTTATGCATTGGTGGGTAGGGCAAGCTTACTAAAGAAAAAGAAAACTACCCATCCCAATCTACCATTGAAATTACCCAAGTATTTATAAAATATGCATAATATTATCATATTAATTGACAACATAGAGTACAATTAATGCAAAAATATTGAATCTGTAGATTTATAGATTTGCAAATCTTGATTTTGCTTAAGCACTATTTTGACTTTCTATTTGTCTTCTATGAAATTCATATATCAACTTATATCACTTCATGCCCAATTGTTAAGCTTTCTATCATGTTAATATTGGAATGTGATTTTTGACAAATTCAGAATGAAATTGATTCTACAGGGGTAATTTCATAATTTGTATTCATCTGAACTGTTAAAATTGCTTTTTTTCTGGAGTAAATTAAATCACTATTGCTACAAATTCTTTCAAGAAAATGTTGCATTTAGCCAGCCTAATGCCTTATGAAACGCTTGCATATTTTCCTTAAAAGGTTTATTAAATGAACTTAATTCTTATACATTCAGCTTTAACATATTACAAGTTGGAATAATATTAATGCACGAGCATGTGTAACTGGGAAACCAATCACACAGGGAGGAATCCATGGTAGGATTTCTGCCACTGGTAGGGTAGGTTTATATTATATTTGATATTTTTCAGGTTATAACGATATGAATTCGTCAGCATGTGTAACAGGTAAACCAATCACACAGGGAGGAATACATGGCCGTACATCAGCAACAGGAAGGGTAGGATGTTCATAAAGTGTTGCATGACTGTCATTTTATCATTTTAAAGTGATGATTTTGAATTACAGATATAAGTTTCACACAACTTTTTAATTTGGTGATTGATTGTTCAGGGACACCAAAATTGTAGAATAACTGTTTTTTCATAGTGTTGCGTGTCTCATTATTGTAAATTTATATTCCTCATCTTGTATTCATATGTCGAAATGATATAAGTTTTATCTGTATTACAAAAAGAATTATTAAAAGAATAGATCAAATTTTTAAATAACAAAAATGTACTAGATCAGTAAAGGCATTGTTAGGTCTTATAGTCATGCTAAATTATTTTTTTGTAAAATTAAAATCATCACTTTGATTTGCCTGCTTTTCACTGTTATACAATAAAAGGAAGCTATATAAAACTATAACTTGGTATTGCCATGTCTGTAATTACTGTCACATAACTTAGTAGTGAAATATAGTAACACCCTGAGAGGAGCAGGTTTGATAAGGTCCATGTATTACAATAAAATGGCCATTATTACAATGTTTCATAGTTGAACCAATGTCAATGACTAGATAGGACTCTCTTGAAATTCCTTTATGGGGGTTCTTTTCATGATGTCAAGATAGCATTATTTTCAATTTTTCACAAAAGTCAATGAAATAGCTGATTCCCTTTGGTCTAAAGGATCAGAAGCATATAGTGCATGCATGGACGACAAAAACTGTTCAACACTATGTTTATTAAAAGAAAATGAAATAGTCTGTCAGACTTGAATATTTATGTTGTCAAAACTTCTGCTGTAAGTTTCCTAAACCTAAATGTGGTTGAAATCCATAAGATTTTGATAACTTTCATCAAAACCTAAATTTTTGGCTTATTTAGGGTGTAAATATATACACACAAAATGCTTCTATTTCAATATCACACCTGCTTACGTATTAAATTATTGAAACACTTTTCAACTTAGAATAATGAACTCTTTGTTGGGGAGGGTACATTCTTTGTTAATAAGACCCAGACCACACCTACTCCTTTTTGTAATTCGAAAATCCATTCTGATTAAAAAATAAATAGTAAATTTCCAACAAAAAATTTTTGACTGTTTTTTTTATACTGGGAAGCAATATTAAGAATACAGCTGTTGAAAAATTTAAGTTTTAATCATTTCAAAGTATTTTCAGCATGGCTTCAGGTTATAGAAATGTATCTTCTTCTTAGAAAATCCTTTGTTCTTGTCTGCCTTCTTTTTCTGTTATGGTAATTCTTGTATTTTATTATTGATGTATTGTCTACATTAGTCTATCTGCAGAGGATGTGTTCTTGATTATGTTTTAAATATGGTTAAGAAGTACACATATTGAAAGCTAACAAAAAATAACAGCAATCATCCAACTGACAAATGACACAGAAGTCACAGAATGCAAAACATAGCGATGCTAATCCTGCTTCAGTGTGGAGTAGACTGTTTGTTAAAAGCTGTGTATTTCAGAATGTAGTAGAACAGGATAATCCATATCAGATGTATACAGATGCCTCATGTTCTGAATTTCTTTTCTTTTTAGGTTAATTATTATGAGTAATTCAGTCACTGGACCATGACCTAGGGGACAGGGCCTCAAAATAGTCGTCAAACTGATATGTTCTGATAGTAATGCAAATTTATTTGGTATATAGAATCATTGCAAGGTTTACATGTCCATCAGAAATGGTTCAACTGACCTTGACCTCATTTCATGATTCAGTCATGAATGTTAAGTTTTCTTGACTTGTTCTGTTTCTCAGACACTATATGTAATAGGTCAACTATATTTGGTGTATATAATGATTGTAAGGTGTACATGTCTGTAAGACAGGGTTTATCTAACCTTGACCTCATTTTCATGGTTCATTGGTCAATGTTTAGATTTCATGATAAGGTCTGTTTTGCAAAATTAAATCTCATAGAATAACTATATTTGGTTATGGAATGATTGTTTCGTTTACATGTCTGTCTTAACAATATCCATCTGACCATGACCTCATTTTCATTGTTTATTTGTAAATGTTTTGTTTTTGTAATAAAGTTTTTTTCCCAGATCCTAAAAATGATAAATCAACTGTATTCAGTGTATAGATTGATTGTGAGGTGGACATGTCCTTCTGATAGAGGGCATCTGAGCTTGACCTCATTTCCATGGTTCATTGTTCAACATTAAGTTTCATGATTAGGTTTGTTTCTCAGATATTATTTGTAAAAGGAATATAACATATTCTATATTTTGGTGTACAGAATGATTGTAAATGTCTGTCTGACAGGGCTCATTTTATCTTGATCTTGTTTTCATGGTTTATTTATAATGTTATGTTTATATGATACCCATATACCTGTAGTAAGATGTTTTTCATGTCAGAAGACTCACAACATAAAATTCAATCATAACTGGTAATGCTAGTGAGAAATTTCAGCATGTGCATTCTTGTTTTAATATAGGTACATGAATAACTACACTGGTTTATTCAAAATGTACCAGATGATAATTTATGCAACAATTGCATATTTGGAAATTAACCTAATTTTTGCCCAGTTATATTGAATATTGACAATGATTCTATGGTTGATATAATCGTATTATTTCCATTTTTGTGCAGGTGAAATAAATGTAAAAAAAAAAAGTATTTCACTGACATTTTTGGGGTCTTTGAAACACATCTTTTACTTTGTTTTGTCTCAAGTTTTGTTGAGATTTTCAGTCTCATTTCCCCATTCTGTGCTCTCCTATTCTATTGCACTTTCATTAATATGTAATTAAAATAGTTAAGAAATGAAGAGGAATCATTCTAATGCATTGTGATTTCCAATCTTAATTTGATTCTGGTAATATAACACAAAATTATAGTTTACAAGGACTCATCTGATTCCTTGCACTAAAACTCATTTCCTAACATACAGGAACCTTTTATAATATTGCATTGGACTGATAAAATGTAGTATTGTCTCAACAGTATCTCAAGAATGTTACAAGATTGTGAAAATCTTTTTGTAAGGAATGTGCCTCTTCATAACTTAGAAAATTGCCATGTATTTAAAGCACTGTACCAATTTTTATTCTTTTTTTATTTGCTTGGAATGAAAATATAAATAATAATAATCTCAATCAAAGTTTAAAATTAGTTCTTTTTTCAAGATTTATACCATTCAGTAATGGAACAGATGTACATGCATGTATTTTATATTAGATAAAGTAGTCAATAGACCTTATTTAGGAATCTGCGACACTTGAACTATTGACGTCATACAACAATCACTTTTCCTTTGTGGCATCAGACATTTTCTATTGTGACCTAAAAAAAATTATGGGAACCATTGTGATATCTAGTAATGGCGGAAAATGGCAATAAGGTGTATTTTTTAAAAAAAAGCGATAAAGTATATTTTAACTTGGAAAAGCTAGATTGTAATGGGAAGTGATTGAAATATTGGTAATTGTAAATTATGTAATATTATAAAGTATATTTCTTTACTGTGTTTATATTTGATCCTTGGTAACAGTTTCTTATTTTTTTTTTTAATTAAAGTTTCTTAATTTTGATAAAAATGAATAATTTTATGTTCAAATGTAAAATTCCAAAAAATAATTTATTTTTAGACCATTAATTAGCATAGGATTCTACATTTTGTCAAAAAGACTATCTATTTAAATAGACTGTATATATTTAGATTTAGTTTTATTTGAAATTTAATTGTTTATGCACTATCTAACAGGGTGTATTCCATGGTATTGAGAACTTCATTATGGAGGCTAGTTATACCAGCATGATTGGTCTCACTCCAGGATTCAATGACAAAACCTTCATCATTCAGGTAAGCTGCATTACAATAATAAGCAGGATTTTTGCAATTTTTTATAGTTAGGCCAAAAAAAAATATATGTCTGTTTACGGTTACCTGACCGACCCTGTTTTTGAGTCATTATATTTCCGTCGTAAAGCGAAGAATAAACTGAACTTGTGTCAAAATCGAAATTAGTGTTGCAAATAATATAAATCAATTGCCTGATACATCCCAATGTTCACAATCATGAATATGACAGCTGTTTTAAGGAAATTCACAATGAACACTTTGCCGCCATTTTTTTCCAACCAATTATCAAGGGAAATAATCCAATCATTAAAAATAGGGTAAACTCAGCCCATGATCAACTCGGACCACGACAAGACGAAACGGCATGACTCAAAATCATGTCATAAAAAATAAAATAAAATGGAAATACCGACCTACCTACCGTATTTTTTTAAAGTATGTAACCTTAAACAGACATATATATTTTTTTTGGCCTTACCACAATTAGGGAAAGGGTAAGGGACTTTTATATAATGTTTATTTTATCCATTTTATTGGAGTCCACTTCTGCGAAGTTAAATAACTAAATAGATTAAAGCTATGCTATTGAAAGTGTGGAGTGTAGGAATATTCTAATTTTCTTTAGGGATTTGGAAATGTAGGACTTCACAGTATGAGATATCTCCACAGAGCAGGTGCTAAATGTGTTGGAGTTAAGGAAATTGACTGCAGTATATATAACATAGATGGTATTAGTCCAAGGGAATTAGAAGATTACAAAATTGTAAGTACATATGTATTACATTATGCTTCATTGAAGTTATTTAAATACAGTAAAAAGGTTAGTTTAAATAAAACAAAGTTCTGTTTAATTCACATAGTAAGTCTATAAAATTCAGCCAGACTTGCATTGAAAATATTTGAATACTGATCCTGTCTTTACCTTGAAATTCTTTAAAATTAGAGATATATTGCACAAATGTGACCTTATAGATGTCACAATGTCATTTATTAAACTAGAGCGATTATATTACAACATTACAAGAGGAATACTATTGATAAGCCTCACAACATATTCAGATTTTGCTGATCTGAAATAATTAAAATGTGCATTTAATGCTAAATAAATTTTTTTTTCAAAAATCTTAAAACTGAACAAAAAGAAATAAAATTAAACAACAGAATGAAAGACTTTTTTAAATAAACAAAATACACAAATGTTGACATTAAACCAATAATTCGTTAAAGCTATTTTGTTGGGATAGGGGTGTAGAAAGGGAAAAGAGGGTGTCAGTCTGGCTATAACAATCAAAAAAACTTATAAATCCAGTAATTATTTTGAGTTATCCCTTACTGAAATATGCAGTAATATTTAACACTATTGATGGTTTCTATTCTTATCTTGATGGTACATTTTTGTTCTGTTACAGGAAAATGGTACAGTTAAAGGGTTCCCCGGTGCTCAGGAGTATGATGGTGACTTGTTGCTGGAGAAATGTGATATACTTGTTCCTGCTGCTAGTGAAAGACAGCTTACCAAAGAAAATGCTCATCTGGTTCAGGCTAAGGTAAGTAACTCGTTGAAGAAAATGCTCATGATTCAGGCTAAAGTAAGTAACTTGTTGAAGAAAATGCTCATGATTCAGGCTAAAGTAAGTAACTTATTGAAGAAAATGCTCATGATTCAGGCTAAAGTAAGTAACTTATTGAAGAAAATGCTCATATGATTCAGGCTAAGGTAAGTAGCTTATCGAAGAATTTCTCATCTAGTTCAGACTAAGAAAAGTAGCTTATTGAAGAAAATGCTGATCTAGTTCAGGCTATAGTAAGTAGCTTATTAAAGAAAATGCTCATCTGGTTCATGATCAAGTAAGTAGCTTTGTGAAGGAAATGCTCTTTTAGTTGAGGTAAGTAGTTTACTATTAGAAATGTTTAACTAATCAAGACTAAGGTTAGGAGTTTACCGTCAGAAGAAATACTCTGTTGTTCATTGAATTAAGGCAGTAAGGAAGAGGTAACTAGTTTACTTGTAGGTAAATTACTATCAAAAGATGTCTGGTTCAGACTAAGACTTTGGCAAGTAGCTTTCTGTAGAAAATACTCTCACTGAAAAGGCTTGGATATGGAGCTGCTGGTCTGCGAGTCTGGGTTGATCTCCTCATGTAAGGGTAAATCAAAACAGATAGTTTAACAAAGCAAATTAGGAATATTGTGTACTGTAAATATTGAAATTATTGCTTGCATTTATTATTGCAATTGTTGAATAATAGATAGAAATGTGATATAAAATTATTGTGATTTCAGGAAATGCTGCATAGAAATAAATGCTGTCAAAATTTTTTAAAAAATACAAGTTTTTAATTTTTGTAAAACCTAGTCCGTCACAATTTTTCACAGTCATATATATAAACATCACGAAAATTTATGAATTTACAGTTTTTAAAAATTTACCCTGTATTTAAAACTATAACATAATTTTTAGCAAATTAATGATTAAAGCATGTTTTGCTCAAAATACATTTTCTTGATTCTAGATATATGTGAATTACAAATAGTAATTGTGTATGAATATGATAACATAAACTGAATGTTGTTTTTCTCAGATAATTGCTGAAGGTGCTAATGGACCAACTACAATGGGAGCAGACAAGATTTTCCATGAAAGAAATATCCTGGTTATTCCTGTAAGTTTTTTTTCATGCCCCCTCTGCTAGGCGAAGGATGCATTAAGTGTTACCCTTGACCTTCCACCTTTTGCCCCTGCAGCTAGGCGAAGGGGGCATGAAGTGTTACCCTTGACTCTACGTCTGTCCCATTTTGGTTTCTGCACTATAACTTAAGTTTTGCTCATTCAAATTTTATGAAACTCATACACAATGCTAAGAACCAAAACTGGCAGAGAGAGTTTGAATTTGGGCAGTGAGTCACTCACCTTTCTAGAGTAATGCCCCTTTATAATTTGAAAAATTGCAAGTTTTTTCATTTCCGCATTCTAACTTAAGTTTGCATCATGCAAATTTTAGGAAACTCATACACAATGCTAAGAATCACAACACACAGACAGAGTTCTATTTGGGCAGTGAGTCATTTACCATTATAAATTTATGTCCCTTGTTAACTTGGAAAATTGCAAAGCTTGAGCAGGGCATTTGTGTCCTCAGACACATTCTTCTTTTATTAAGTCTTGGAAGTTGGGGAAGTCTTATTGTTTTTACTCAGTTCTTATTATTATTATTATTATTATTATTCTTCCTCTTCCTCTTCCTCTTCCGCCGCTTTTAAATTTGAACTTGTCCGCACCTGTTCTCCAAAACCGCTTGTCAGATTAACTTAGGGTTTCACAGTATGTTAGACTAACATGTCTAGTGGTACAATCAGGGTTTTGTTTGTGCAATGGGGTTTATAAAGGGGTACTTTGAGGGGCAAAAAGAAAAGAGGGTTTTACTATAGAACCCTATGGGATTTTATTTTTAAAAATTTTCAAATGATTATAGATTGAAAACCATTTGTGATAGACACAATCTTTTTAATTGAAAATGTTCTAAATGATAAAGCCCATTGAATGAAATACTGGGTTAGTCCCCAGGGGTTACCCCCACCCCCTGCCATTTAAGAAAGTTCTAATACCTTGTAAGTGGTCAAGATCCCCACCCCTAAACCATATATATTCTGGTTTGCCATGCTAAGATGGTTTGAATGATATACAGGATTAGTCCCCAGGGGTCATCCTGACCCCATACCATTTGAGAAAGTTCTAATATCTTGTAAATGGTCGAGATCCCTACCCCTAAACCATATATATTCTGGTTTGTCATGATAAGATGGTTTGAATGATATACAGGGTTAGTCCCCAGGGGTCATCCCGACCCCCTACCATTTGAGAAAGTTCTAATATCTTGTAAATGGTCGAGATCCCCACCCCTAAACCATATATATTCTGGTTTGTCATGATAAAGCAAATCAAATGAAATACCATGTTAGTCCCCAGGGATCACCCCCACCCCCTGCCATTTAAGAAAGTTCTAATACCTTGTAAGTGGTCGATTTCCACACCCCTAAACCATATATATTCTGGTTTGTCATACGATGATTGTTTGAATGATATACAGGGTTAGTCCCCAGGGGTCATCCCGACCCCCTGCCATTTGAGAAAGTTCATATATCTTGTAAATGGTCAAGATCCCCACCCCTAAACCATATATATTCCGGTTCGTCATGTCTCGAACATTTGAATGACGTATACGGTCAGTCCCCAGGGGTTCCCCCCACCCCCAATGTTCTGATATCTTGTAAATGGTCGAGATCCCCACCCATAAACCGTATATATTCCTGTTTGTCATGTCTCAAACATTTGAATGACGTATAGGGTCAGTACATGAGGTTTCCCCCACCCCAATGTTCTAGTATCTTGAAAATGGTCGAGATCCCCACCCCTAAACCATATATATTCTGGTTTGTCATGCCAAGATGATTTGAATAATATACAGGGTTAGTCCCCAGGCATCACTAATACATATAACTTTACTGGACCAAACCAATTTTCACTGGACTTTGCCCAATGTCGGGCGACCCTGGGAATTATGAATTATGGGAGCTTCGTTTGGGAGACTTCATAACAGCATCCTGTTACAATCATTTCTTGTTTATTAATGAAATAGAAAAAATAGAAACACAGGACAGATTCTAAAGAAGAATCTTGACTTGGTACAATTCATTGTAGCTAATTAAAGTATCAATTATAGTATGAGAAATTTATCTAGGCCAGAAGGTGAATTGTGAATCAACTATCCTGTCATTTTCAAACAAGACTTCTGAACCTTAAAGCATGTAACTATGTGAGATACTCTAAGTAAAAATTTGATGCTTCACAATGAGTCTGTTACAAATGGACTGCACATAATCAATTAACCAAAATAAATCATTGTATTTTTCAGGATCTCTACATAAATGCTGGTGGTGTCACTGTATCTTACTTTGAGTGGCTTAAGAATTTGAACCATGTCAGTTATGGCAGACTCACATTCAAATATGAAAAGGACTCAAATTATTATTTGCTTGGTGAGGTTATAATGATACTTCTTACTGAATTTTATTTTTCATCTGAGACTTTATTTGCCTGTTAGACAAAGAGAAGTAAAAGAAGATTTAGGTTTATTCAGTTTACTGTGACATTAATATTTAGTTTATTGCCTGACAGTTCAATGATAGCAGACTGTTTGGTTCATAGACTTTTAGTAAGTTCAGTATCTCACTCTTCTTGTTATTTTTTTTAAACCATGAATAAATAATTATATGATTCTAAGGTCCATCTGCATATTGATTTTGGATGCAGCATTGCAGACAGTAATTCAAAAGTTCTTTAAAAATTTAAGTACTGTAGTGCTATTCTTTCAGAAATAAAGTACCTTCAAGGCATGGTCTTAACTGGAGCCATTAAATTCCCTTAAAAATATGTCTTTGAAGCCATCTCATTAGACTTTTCTAAATAAACTGAAAAGCTATATTTCATTGACAATTGGAAGAAATTAACTAAAACCATTCATTAATGTGATAATATAGTTTCATATAATGTATAAAGTTCAAGGCATCTTCTTTTGATATTACAAAATGAACAGTGAAAGAACTTTCAAAACGTTTATATCTATAAAATCCACATATTTAACAGTCTGTAGAACATGGTTGTTTCTATTCATTCGATGTATTAGGAGGACCTGCTTAATACTTTTGTATATGGCGGAGGGCACCTTAACTAAAATAATTAAATTAAGTGGGTGCCAGTACTTTTAAAATTAATTTAAAAAAAAAAACAAGCCTAAAAAGTTGTTTTTTTTAAATGAAATTCTAATGCTATTTTTATGTTACATTTCTTTACACCAGCTAAAATTTACCGTCAAATCCACAGTTGACATTTCGTAACTAAGGAGTGAGTCGCCATATTGAATTGCTTGAATCAACAAATGTTGGATTACTACAATATTATCGTAAATAAAACAACACCTACCTCAAAAACATCGTTTTGATTTGATATTAATCAAACTTGAATCCTAGAAGTACAAAATAACCTTCAGTATGAAAATTTTCATTTGTAGATGTCATGTTTAGCCACAATGTTAAATGTGCCAAAATTTCGCAGATTTTTATTTCAATTTATACAAGCTCTAACGTATTATTTCTTTTTGTAATGCATAAGATTCTGGATAACAGTACTGTAGTTGAAGGGTTGCCTCCGTCAATTGTCCTCAGTTGTCCTCAGTTCAGAGGCCATTGAAATAACATTGTTATAAAGGATGCTTGATATAACATGCAGTCAATATTACATTTCACTTTTCCGGCTTTAAGGTAATATTTACAGGATCATTTTATGTATGCTTTTATTTATGTAAATATAAATAAATGGATGAAATGCTTTTTATTCACAGAAAGTGTACAGAGATCACTAGAGAGGAAGTTTGGTAAACAAGGTGGAACTATACCTATCCAAGCATCTGATGAGTTTGAAAAAAGAATATCTGTAAGTTATCTAATATTGGTTTAAGGTTACCATTAGGTTGTGGTCCCATCAAATTGAAACGTAATACAAATGTTCATTATGATGTTAACTTTTTAATTTAAAACAAACCAGTTCAGGGTTTTGACCTAGATTTTGCAGTTCATTTGACATGAAAAGGTCATAGTTTGAGCTGGGCATGGTATCCGATGGGCACATATTCTGGTTTTTACTGCATTTTTTTTTTAAATATACATACTTTAAGGGCTAAGTGAGACTAACTTTGAGCCTAATGTGAATAAAAGAGATTTGTTGTAAATCCATAAGGACAGCAACCAAACAATACAAGTTTACAAAAATTAGATATTTAGGGGTCACAATACAATCTCAAGCTTATCCATATTTATATTTATTTGCATTTCTTTCCATATGGTCTTATCTGTGCATGTTGGTGTGTGTCTTCTTATATTAGAATGTTCAAGATTACTACCTGAAAATTATCTCATGAACAGTACATCTATTGGAGCCAGCCCTTAAATGTCTGAATTCTAGAATATGAAGAAACTCTTTAACTGTTTTATTTCCACCAAGGTTCAATAAATTTATGTTGCTTGCATTTTTAAGAAATAAAGCAAGTTGTTGAAAAAAAAAGAACTCTTTATTATCTTATAATTTAATTTTGGATGTAACACGTCTCCTGATTGGCTGAAATTTTTTTGTCTTTCAGCTCACAGACATAATTTAGTCATGTGACTGTGACGTCATCAACGTTTTTTCATGATGTCTATGCAAAATAACCTCAAAAATGTTATTTCTTCATAGACAGAAAAAATATTACAGACATTCCTTAATTAAATATTACTTTTTAGGGTGCTTCTGAAAAAGACATAGTACATTCAGGATTAGAATACTCAATGGAAAGATCTGCCAGGGTAAGTTTTGAATAGGATCAAAGTGTTTTACAGCATGTCATAAATCTATATTATAGGAAACATTGTAGATATATTTATACCCTAGCTTTACTGTTTTACCTCTGTCTGTCCGTCCATCTGTCAGTCCGTCAGTCCGTCCATCCGTCACATGAAAATTTTTTGTCACATTTTTTTCTCAGGAACTACAATACTTGGATTTCTGAAATTTGGTTTCAGGGTTTATATAAGTCGGCTATACCGTTTGATGCGTCTTCAGAATCATCACTCAACAACAACTTGTTTACTGAAGTATTTGGGCGGGGGTATCATTAGTGAGCAGTAGCTCGCAGTTTCACTTGTTATTTCTAGACAACAACATAAGTGCAACTTAAGATGAATGTAAATTAGTCATACTGATGCTTTTCATAGATCTGTAATATCCGAATTTGAATATGAATTATTATCAGCAGTCATCTTTATTTTCATGCTCTTGACATTCTTATACTGTAATATTTTAGGCAATTATATAAATACTGTAATTGATACTTAATTGATTTTACTTTTATTTTTCATTTAAATGAATATATTTCAAAACTTTGTCAAGTCAATAGTTTTGGTGTTGTTACTAGTATGTGTAACTTTGTCAAGGCAATAGTTTTGGTGTTGTTACTAGTATGTGTATAAACAAACATAACTTAACAAAAATCTTAATTAGCAGGTTAGCATAAAGAATGTATGATACTGATTTGTGTGTGTATGACATGTTTCTGAAGTAACTTTCATCAGGAATGCTTGAGACAACTAGTGTTGAAAGTCAAATAATATTTGAGGGTATGATAAACAATTAACAGCCCAAAGTGGCTAAGGTCATCTTTGTGTCGGGGAGTTGCAACCTTAGTTCCTAATTTATGAGCTGGAAATTTACAGTATCATTTGCACTGGCTACTTGGGGGTGGTACTTGGGAAATGATAGACCACCAGCTACAGTACCAACCATTGGTAGTAAAAGAAACATATTGCACAACATATTATTTAACCAATATAGGTCACTGTGAACCTCATATGGTTCAGATGTGATAAAATGAATACCAAAATACTACCAAAATTGCATAAAACCATTTGAACTTTGTAGAGTTTACATGTTTAAATGCCATACTTGATTTTTATGTTTGTTTCCATGAAAAATTTTGATAAGGAAATATTGATAAACCTTTTCTTTTCTTTTTTCAGAATATCATGAGGACATCTATGACCTACAATCTCGGTTTAGATCTACGAACAGCAGCATTTATAACCTCTGTAGAAAAGATCTTCAAAGTTTATGAAGAAGCTGGACTTACATTTACATAAAAACTAGGTTTTAGCAGCTTTTGAATATGTAGTCAGTTGTTGGGGGCAATATATGATGAGAAGGTTTTAGTTGTCTTATGCAATAATTTTTTGTTTAGAAAAATTACATTGAATCAAGTTAATAAAAACCATTGTTTTAAATAAATGTAATAAAAACCAAAGAAGGGCATATTTTTCTATACTTTTAGTAATTACTAAATCAGTTATGATTAAGAAAAAATATAGGTATGTTTTTGTATATGAATCTCATCTCAGCAATGTATTCAACTGCAGCTTTTTGAAAAAAAATGGGTGCAATTCAAGGTTGGAACAGGTTTTACAATGTTTAGTAGGGTGGTTATTTGAAAAGGACAAAAAATCAAAATCAAAAGAACTGTACAATACATGTATAATCTTTATTAGACCAAAATGCATTTTATATTATTCTGCCTCAAAATTTTGCATATTATGAAAATGCTTTTACGTAATCCATATTATCTGTCAATTGGTTATTTCAATTATAATTTTGATTAATGCTATTGAATATGTGATCCCTATTTAGAATAAGATTGTAGACCGAAATCATCATTAAAAATGGCTACCAACAATTTTAGAAATTAATATTTGACATAGAAACTGATTGAAAAAATTAGAAAAAGAACTTGTATCATTAAATATGAAGTTGGGAGATGAGTTAAATATAGGATGTTGTCTTGTTATTTACTATTTGGACCCAATGTTGCTGCATTGTTTCTAAGGTGGCTGCTCTCTTTAAGGAAACATTTTTTTGTAGTCATATTTATAGACAAAACAGAATAGTTTAAATAGTTTTTAATCAACTTTAGAATTTAACTGACCAGTTGAAAGAAACATAAAAAAGCTTGAGTACTATATAGCCTTGAAGTGATTTGGTATTTTGCTATGATTTTATTTGTTTTGTCAGTCAGAAATTGTTTCTTGTATTACAATCCTTATCTGCCTCTTATTGTTAAGTTCTTGTTAAAACATGTCTTTTAAATGTCAATTTTGTTATTTGGTGTTGTGATAGACCAAAGTGTGATACAAGTATTGTTTGAATTTAAGTCAACTTTGTATGTAGAGTGCATGTTTATTTAAAGTAATGAATACTGTAAGGTGTGTCTGTTTGGAAATTGTTTATTAAGCGTTTCTTTGATTTAAATTGAGTGTGAATAGAACAGACCATTTTTTTTTCCTGGTCGAAATTTTTTAAATTCTGTTTCTGTCAGCATATAAGAAAACATAAAATCTATTTACAAGAACATGAATATTTAGGAGAACCAATTACCGGTATGTACAAAGTATGACTTGACCAAAAATACTTGCTATCCATTAAAATCAGTAAAAGTAAAATTAATGCATTTAAAGAAATATATGATATATTAAACAGAACTTGCATGAAATGATCTTTAAACAATGTTAACTTTCTGGACTTAGATAAGGAAATCAAAGTATAATTTCTTTGCAAGGTCAAACTACATGTATTAGATTCATGCTTTTAGTTTTTATATTTATATTACAGTGTGAAAGTTTGTATGGATGTAATTTTAAATAGTTAACTTGGACTCATTTTGCAGCAATTTAAGTTGTGTAGTTCAATTCTGTGTATGTAATATGGAATACAATATTTTAATTCCAAGACTCGTTAAATGAATTTGATGAAATTTAGGATTGAATTTAAATTTTTTGTTGTATTTTAGGTATACATCTATTTTGAAATCTTGTTAATGTTTATGTATTTATATAACCATCTATGAATGTTCTTCCCATATGGTTATTTAGAATATTCATAGAGACTTAGCAATCTCAAAGAATTATTCTATAGAATCTGTGCCTATATTTTTACAATTTTCTCCAATTTAATAAGCATTTTTGGAAAACTGCAACAGTCTAACCTAAATATTGGCATTAGTAATTGATATTAGTTATACTAAGTTCAGAGGTTAAGAAATAGGAAATTAAAATGATATTACTACTTGCACAAATTTAAGATATATTTATCCAAGGGCTCACTTATACTTAGAAAACAACCATTGCACAGTGTTTGTGCAAAAGTGGCAAGAAAAACCAATTTAACTTCAATGCTCATTTTTTATAGTAAACTTTTATGTTTTGCAGTCCTTAATAGTATCTATAAGAACATGATGTATGGAATAAAAAAAGTGATTGCTTGAACTGCATAGATTTATATAGAAAATTGGTTGCCTGATCACATAACCTTTTGTTACTTTGGTTTTAAACCGACACAATTACATACTTTTAATGTCAGAATGAATTTGTTTAAAAATATCAAAATAAGGTACAAAGTTCACTATAATGAAGTTATACCTTTTTTATTAAAAATTCAGCTTCATTGTTATTTCAATATGGTTTAATTTAAGGTCCCTTTTTCCATTGTGGCCAGTTTCATTTGCATATATCATTGAAAAATGTGTGGTGTATTAGTATGGTGAACTGCTTGTATGATATATGTAGAACTTGCACTACTTTTTTTTAAGAATGTTAGTCAAAAATTTATATATATTCGTTTAGTAAATGTTTATCTGACAGTTTTATTTGCACAATTTTGTAGTGAGTTATGCACACATAGAATAACATGTATTTGAAAGTAACCACCATATCATCATAAAGCTGATTGAATCTTAAAAGTTTACTCCTCATTTTTTATTTATAATAAAAGGTATTATCAGTAAAATTTGTTTGTTTTCTGCAGCCAGTGTTTATAGTTGTAGAGTTAATGTGCTTGGGTTCAGAATAAGGGATTAAATCAATACAGATGAATCTGAGTTTCTTTTAAAAACTGGGTTTTCTGAAGGAAAAAAACAAGTCATTAATTTGATGAAGTATTGCAGGGGATAGGCGGGTGGCTGTCAACAGTTTCCATGCAATAACTAATGAACCGCTACACCAATGCTTTTCAAATTTTAATATGTTGATGCTAATGACAAAATGGTGGTCAATATCCATATCAACGATTTTCCCTTTTACTGTTCAGGAGTTATGGTCCTGGATATATTGTAAAATGGCACTTTATGACATTTCCATTCAGTTACTTATGAATCCTTCTACCTATGGTTTTCAAATTATAATGACAAAATGGAGATCAAGTTTAATATTTTACAGTTCAGGAGTTATGGTCCTTGATCTATTTGAAAATGGCACTTTATGTAGTGTCCATGCAATTACTTCTGAACCTCTTTACCATTACTTTTAAAATTTTAATATGTTGTTGCTGAAGAAAAATTGGAGGTCAAGCTCTTTATTGATGATTCTCACTTTTTTGGTTCATGAGTTATGGTCCTTGATAGATTGGAAAATAAGTATAGAATTTTTCAGGTCAAAAATGTGTGAAAGCGCATTTCAAAATACAGAAAACCCAGATTCCTGTCAATCTGACAGCTCTTTCCTTGTTGTTTTTGCTTGTGAACATTAATCATGTAAGCTACATATTTTTCACATTCTGTTGAGAATCCAAGCAATGAAATCAAGCTTACCATACAAATAAATAAACCTATGAAAAGTTCTTTACAAAGCCTTCTCATTCAATTTTTTAGCTCACCGGGCCTGGCCTACACAATTGCCATTACTTTGCATCAATAAACTTTTTATAAAAATCATCTCCTGTAAAAACTTCTCAATGGATTGGAAACGAAAGTTTATCTGTATAGGATGTCAACTATAAAATTTTTGATATTTGTCCTGGTTGATCAACCAACATTGATGCCATGTCTACAAATAGAACATAGGGGGTCAAAGTTCAAACTACAGTTTCTCGAAAACTATAGCAATTAGAAAAAAACTGTGCGAATGGAAATGATCAGCACAACAAAAATCTGTCCTGTTTTTGAATTATTGCCCCTGAAATGTTCATTTTGAACTTTTTTTGCATTTCCTTTCCATTGTTTCAATAACTATAGGAGTTAGGTTTAAAGTGTAAATTGCAAAAATAATAAGCATGACGGGATGTATCCATCCAAAAGATGGGAGAAAAATCTTAACTACCAGTACTCATTTTGGAGTTACTACCCCTGAAATATGGATTTCATCCAATATTCAGCAGTTGTTGATCGTTATCTTGAAAACAATAGGAGCTAGGTTAAAAGTGTTCATGCAAAATAGAATTAGCACAAGATTTATCTTCTCTGAAAATTTGAGAAAAATATGTTGACCAACTTTGGAGTTATTGACCCACATATATCCATTTGTTGCAGTTTTTGGCTATATATTAAAATTATAGGTGCTAAGTTAAAAGTGTCCTTGACCAATGAACCATGAAAATGAGGACAATGTCAGATTAAACCTGCCAGTCTGACATGTACACCTTGCAATCATTCCACACACCAAATATATTTGACCTATTGCTTCTAGTATCTGAGATACAGACTTGACCACAAAAATTTGACCTTGATGAATGATTGTGAAATGAGGTCAAGGTCAGGTGAACCCTGTATGAAGGGACTGGTAGCCCTTGCAAGGATCATATAAACCAAATATAGTTATTCTATTACTCATAATAAATAAGAATTTTACATGAGTAGTCGCTGAACCATGAAAATGAGTTCAAGGACAATGGACATATGACAGACGGAAACTTCGTAACATAAGGCATCTGCATACAAGGTGTGAAGCATCTAGGTCTTCTACCTACAGTTTATAGTCCCTGTGTCTCGCATTCTGTGACTTTCGTTGCAGGCAAGACGAAAACACTTATCATGAAATCATAACAAAACTAAAGCATCTGGTTTACTTAATTGGTGTTCTGTGTAATTGTTCCTGTTTATAATCATCTCTGGTCATTGATTTGGTTAGCAAATTGATAATTAAAAACTATAATCAAACATTACTTTTTCAAAAGAAATACATTTTAAGAGACTATGACTAAGGTATTTAAAAACAGAGAGTCTTAAGTTTCAATAAACTTCCACGTATAATACAATAAAAACACTCATTCATGTTATCATTTAATAGCAAACATATCCACACCATTCATCAACAAACATTCATAAAACTAAAATTCAATCTCCATTACAATCAATATCAACTATAACTAAAATTGTCCTATACACTTGAAAAGATCTAACAGTTTGTTTCTTATTTCAGAACTGACTATTTAGAAAACTATATATGTGTGACAGTAAATTGAAAAGTACATATTCATTTTCTATGTGTCAGGAAAGTGTTGACTGTCACTTTTATTTAGTGTAAAATTCAATCACTTAAATCATATCACAGTAATGTTGCCATCTTAAATAAAGACCTCCAAGTTGATTTATACATAATTCCTCATTATTTCAATCATGCTGTCTGCACAACTCTCTCATCAACTACTAATGGGGTGTCTACAGGTACTTCCTTCTTTACTTTCTTTTTCACTGTTGAATATTCATCAAGGTTTAATATAAAACGCTCAGGTGATGGTGGTGCTACTATGGTCATGTATGTGATGAATTTACCTGTGGATAAAAATAATCTTTTATTCATGATTTTAGTAAAGCTAGAAATATATCGAGAGTCTGGATAATGCATGCTCATTGTGAGCAATGTGCACTCTATAATTCCATCACACTTTGTTAGCTATATATATGGAAGTTTTTAACGACCATGACTGGCTATACAGCCCTTGCACGGTCGGAAAAGTAAGCTAAGAAGCAATAAGAGATTCTTATACCAGATTCATTGCATTTCAAAATTTATCAGAATTAAATTAACTGCTGGCTTTGGAGGGAGTGCTTGGTATTTTTAGCTGACTTGTATAAAATAAAATCATATTATTTTTATTAGACCACAGTTCAATAGTAATTGTTACTTCACATGATTTTCAAGAATTGTTTCTTTTCATTTTTAATAAAATTTTCTAGTTTGAGTTAAGTAAATTGATGTTTGAATGCGGTCTGTGTCATTTCCCAATATTCTTCTGTATAAAGTTTTGTAGTAGTTCGACCTGCACATATTTTTTTATTAAAATTTTTTAAGCTCAACTGGCCTCCTTTGCAACTAAAGGGCCAAATTTAACCAAACTTGGCCGCAATCATCAATGGGGTATCTTGTTTAAATAAATGGAGAATGTGTCCCCATGGACACAGATGATGCCCCCGCTTGCATACAACATTATAAAGGGACATAACTCAAGAACAATAAAAGTGATGCTACCCAAATTTGTACTTGATCTGAGTTTTGTGGTAATAAGTATTGTGTAAAGGTTTCATAATGTTTGGTTGGGGCAAACTTAAGTAAAAGAACGGAAACTAAAAATGTTGCAATTTTTCGATTTATAAAGGGGCATAACTCAATAATGATTAAAGTGACACCACCAAAATTCAACTTGATCTGTGTTTTGTGGTAAAAAGTATTGTGTATAAGTTTCATAACATTTGGTTGAGGCAACTTAAGTTCGAGAACAGAAACTAAAAATTTTGCATTTTTTTCCATTTATAAAGGGGCATAACTCGAGAATGGTTAAAGTGACCCCACCAAAATTCAAACTTGATCTGTGTTTTGTGGTAATAAGCGTTGTGCATAAGTTTCATAACATTTGGTTGAGGCAAACTTAAGTTAGAGAACGGAAACTAAAAATTTTGTAATTTTTCCATTGATAAAGGAGCATAACTCTAGAACGGTTAGAGTGACGCTACCAAAATTCAAACTTGATCTGTTTTTTGTGGTAATAAGCATTGTGTATAAGTTTCATAATATTTGGTTGAGACAAACTTAAGTTAAAGAACGGAAACTAAAAATTTTGCAATTTTTCCATTTATAAAGGGACATAACTCTAGAACGGTTAAAGTGACACCACTAAAATTCAAACTTGATCTGTGTTTTGTGGTAATAAGCATTGTGTATAAGTTTCATAACATTTGGTTGAGGCAAACTTAAGTTAGAGAAAGGAAACTAAAAGTTTTGTAATTTTTCCATTTATAAAGGGGCATAACTCTAGAACAGTTAAAGTGACGCTACCAAAATTCAAACTTGATCTGTATTTTGTGGTAATAAGCATTGTGTATAAGTTTCATAACATTTGGTTGAGGCAAACTCAAGTTAGAGAAAGGAAATCAATTTTGGGACGTACGTACATACAGACGGACAAGGGTAAAACTTTAAAACATAAAAATGTGTCCGAAGACCTCGCCTGCCAACCAACATGGCTGACATGGCTAAAAATAGAACATTGGGGTAAAATGCAAGTTTTGTTTGTTATTTTGAAAACCGCTTTGATTAGAGGAAATATGACAGGGGCATAACTGTTCAGAATGATGAGATCTACCCATTGTCCTCTTACATCAAAACTGTCAGAAGAATCTTACAGGAGTTATTGCCCTAAAATGACAAATTTTACCAATTTTGTTCATTTTTGCCTATTAGTTTGAAAATAATTATAGATGGAGGGAAATTTTATGCACCAAAAATAATCAGCAAGACAAGACCTACAAATAAGTGAACATGGTCGAAATCATCCGACGACTCCTTATTGGAGTTATTGCCCTTTAGTAATGATTTTTATCAATTTTTTGCGTTTTTGCCTTATATCTGAAAAATTAAAATAGACAGTTAGAAACTTAAATGAACAAAAATGATCAGCAAGACAAGTTCTACAAATAAGTCTGCTGGTCGAAATCGTCAGTTAACTCCTTATTGGAGTTATTGCTCTTTAATGATGATTTTTACCCATTTTTAGTGTTCTGTTTCTTATTTTGAAAACTATCATAGATAAATAGCCACTTTAAATAGCATAAATGATCAGCAAGATTAGACATAGAAATAAGTCAGCATTGCCAAACTCATCAGTCGACTCCTTATTAGAGTTCTTTCTCTTTAATGACATTTTTTTTTACCATTGTTTGTGTTTTGAGCAAAAAGTAAAGGAGATAGAGAGAAACAGTAAACAGAAAAAATTATCAGCAATACAAGATCAACAAAAAAGATATTTTTGTAATGAATTCTATTCTAGTCTCCAATATTGGAGAATCCCATTGTTGAAGATGCACATAGACCTAGGTGAGTGACACAGGCTCATTAGAGCCTCAAATTTCTTGTTTTTTTTAAAGAATTTGTTGTTAATTTTGAAGGTGAAAAATTGTATGAAAAGTGATGGTTACTGCTCCTACTCAAATTAATGGTGAGTTATTGAACAATTTATGGTATGGTTTTGAAATTGCATAAATGTACGAATGAATCTTTATTGCATTAGCAACAATATTGCTGTAGCAAGTGAACAAGGTATATACATAAATGATAATAAACAGCTGCGCCATGAGTGCTTTTTAAAAGAATAAAATTCAATAACTTCTCAATGTCGTATCAGAAATTAAAAAAAAACTAAAGGGAGGTTATCTTAATAGATATAAACCAGTCACCAAAGTTTTACGAAAACTGCTCAAAGCACTTTAAAGATATTGTCTGAAAACTGGAAAATCCACCCTTTTTATGAATAAAATCCCATAACTCGGAAAAGTAAAATCTAGAATTTATAAAAATTGAAAGGCAGCTTACGTCAATAAATATAAACAATTCATCAAGTTTCATGAAAACTGCTGAAAGCATTTTTGAGTTATTGTCCGAAAACTGGAAAATCCCCCTTTTTTTAATGAATAAAACCCCATAACTCGGAAACGTAAATTCAAAAATTTATAAAAATCGAAAGGGAGCTCATATCAATAGATATAAACAATTCATCAAAGTTTCTTGCAAATTGGTGACAATGTTTTTGAGTTATTGTCCCAAAACTGGAAAATCCCCCTTTTTTAATGAATAAAACCCCCATAACTCGGAAACATAAAATCTAAAATTTATAAAAAACGAAAGGGAGCTCACATCAATAGATATAAATAATTCACCAAAGTTTCATGCAAATTGTGCGTTTTTGAGTTTTTGTCCGACATGTGGACGACGGACGGACAGACGGACGGTACGACAGACGGACGGACAGATGGACGAACAACGGTATACCATAATACGTCCCGTAAACGGGCGTATAAAAGTGACAGAATACAGAGATGAATAATAACAAAATATTAACTGATAGACTGTGACCTTAATTTCCATGCTACCCTTAATTATTACACAGTTTCTTTGTTAAGCTTGTTTGCTCAGCTTGTAGCAAAACATTAAGCTTTCATTTTATATTTGGCCATGAGCAACAATATTTTGGCAAAAAGTAAAATCTAAATGTTCTAAATAGTAGAAATGTTAAGAAACATCTTATTGCTTGTCTACTTTGCAAAAAAAAAGAAAAAGATGAAGAAAAATAACAATATTTCAGACAATTACTTAATTTTGAATTTAACCTCAACCAACCTCTTAACAAGATCAAACTTAAGATACATGGACTAAGAAATCACATAGAGTTTTTGTAGAAAAGATCCTTCCATTGTTTACATATGACTATCTTCATTTTTAATATAAAAAAAAAATACTGGTGAAAGAAAACTGTTACCAAATTCTACTAAGAACACCTTAGTTTTCTTTGGATACACTTTTAACATTGCAAATGAAAATAAAATTTTCTTTGAAGATGATTTCTAACATAGGTGTTTTTGTTTATTCAAGGCCATTAAATTACATACAGCATTGTCAACATATTTGGGTGAAGCTCAGAATTTGCCTGTTGAAGATGGTAATTATTTATTGCAGGGCAAATCAAAACAATATGATATTCATCTTCAATATTTTTGAACTACAACATCTACAAAAAAAAGATTGTTTCTTGGAATATTGTAATAACAACCTACTTTTTATATTCAATTTTAAATATCCACTATATAGTTTGGAAAGCACCTATATGAGTGGATGAGAATATAAATATATTGACTTATTTGATAATAATTAATTCAAGAAACAGTATACTGAGAGAGAAAAACTCAGAAGTAAATTATACATACCTGAAGCACCTGATGGTTTCCTCTTATTTATGTCATCAATCAAAAAAAGGAAATTTTCTGTCAACTGCTCATTTGTCATCATCAACTGTAACAAATACAGCATAAATTATTTTTTCAAATATCCAGTTAATGTTATGTTACAAAAAAAATCGTAAGGGTTCCGCGGAACCCAGTGTCTCGCCTACTTTTGCTGTTAATCACAGACTCAACAAAAATGAGGAAAAAAATTAATAAAAATATTCCTCTCTATACTTTCTTTTGATTGTAAGTAGCTTCTGTCCAAGTTTAGTAAAAATCCAGGATAGTTTATGAATCTAATAAATGTTTTAAAATAAAAACTTAAACTGCAGACTGTTATGTAATGTTAACTGGAAGAAAAACTAAGTCCATTTATAAGTAAAATACGGAAAAAATGGAACAAAATTTTAACAAAATTTCCTTTTAGATACTAGCTTTTAATCATAAACAAGCTTCTGTCCAAGTTTGGTACAAATCCAGGATAGTTTAAGAAAGTTGTTAAAATTTTAAAAACTTTAACCACAGAGTGAATGTAATGTTTCCTGGCAGAAAAACTAAGTCCATTTATAAGTAAAATACGGAAAAAATGGAATTTTTTTTTTACAAAATTTACTTTTGAATATTATCTTATGATCATAAACAAGCTTCTGTCCAAGTTTGGTAGAAATCCAGGGTAGTTTAAGAAAGTTATTAAAATTTCAAAAACTTTAACCACAGAGTGAATATTTGTGGACGCCGCCGACGACGCCAACGGAATGTAGGATCGCTATGTCTCGCTTTTCGACAAAAGTCGAAGGCTCGACAAAAAGCATTCATACATTTTAATGCAGAAAACATACTTAGTAGAAAGTGCTAGTCAACCAGTGAACTTTACGATTCATGATTAAAGCTGAAGTGGATAAAAAGAATATTATGAGATGGATGCACATGAGTAATAAATCTCAACAACATTATGAAATAACTAATACTTCAAAGAAAGTCTGGTTCAAAATGTGTCCAGAGGATGAATTCAACTGCTAGTATAAAATCAGTGTATGATTCAGGAGGGGGAAAGAGGGAGTATATGACCAAAACAACCTACAGTAAATCACTAGAGTCTATGTAGATACTTTGCTTTTGACATATGCATGCCTTTATGTGAATTATTTTTAATTTAAACATATTCCTCTAACGAAGTATTTTTTAATCAGATTTGAATAAAATGTTAATCAAAATTGACAACAACACTTCAACTGGTCTGCAATTTTATTTACTATGGTCTACATGTTTCGCCTGCAAGGCAGGCATCATCAGGACAATTTACATACAGAAATTATTTACTGAAGTACCAAAACTGGTATCTTGAATTTGACGTCACAATGTGTGTTGTCGAGGTGAGAAAAACAATGAAAAGTGAAAGTAGCAATAAAGAGTTATAAATAGATGATTAGATATAGAAAAATAAAGTTTGTTTACAATGTAACTTGAGTTCATTTTACTTTTATATGATACATGACATTGTTCTAAAGGCTTTGTATCTAAAAGGACGAACTTCCCATGGTTCCTACCACTTCGCAAGGCTTCTCTTCCAACCTGGCCATTGTTGGATGATACTACTTCCAGGCGCGTCGGTAACAATGGGAAGATTTTGATCGCCGCTAATGGATTTGAATAAAGTGTAAGATTATGACGAAGGAACAAATGATTAACTGAACAAAAGGTGATGTGGGGTAAATATCCTTGAGACCATAACAGGCATATCTGGAAAAAGTTTCATGTCATTGCAATAAACCCCTTGTTCAGACAAATCCCCTAAGAAAACGAAAAATACTATTAAAGACTATAAGATTTGACTTTTAACATATTGACAGGCCTACTCACTTACTAAATTTAATGAAAAAAAGCCAGACAACCCCTAAAAGCTGGCAATAAAAAATTTACAGAGATATTTTATACAGAATAAACTATTCTTTACCTGTCCAAATGGAACTTGGACTTTTGCCAGAGATTGTGAAGTCTTGACTGTTTCATAGGTAAGTCCATGTAAATATAACTTGACCATCTGTTCTATGTCTTTACCTACTGTTCCTAAAATACAATTATACGATTGTTAAAATAGAGATATATCTACATTACAATATGTAAATTGAGGCATAATCAAAAATATGTATTTGATAGTAAACTATTTGTTCAAACATCATGTGTGGTATTCATTCTGTTAATACATGTAACATGTATAAACAGAATGAATACCACACACTTCAAGATAGAGGTCACTAATTAACAAAATAGGCCAAACATAGATACAATGTAGCTTTAACATTTCTTATTCAATTAACCATGATAATGATGCCAAGATCCAGGGTGAAGTGGCTCACTGATATTGGTCTCTAATAAGGCTTTTATGTTACCTGAAAACTATTAACCTTAGTATCATTTTCAATTTAATTAGTAAATACAAAAAAGGTTAAGAATACACTCAAAACATTTGTGTCATTACAAAGTACAAAATTCCATCAACTGAATTAGGAGTAAAGCATCACAGACTAGTACAGTTTTACCAGAAGTAAAAAGTAAAAAAGTATCAAGTTGGCTGCAAATTAACAAACTTTAACCTGCTCAAAGAAAATACTTTGATAGTACTAAGCATTTTAGGTGAATAAATACTTATTATGCAATAAAAACTAATGGATACTCATCATACTATTATGCAATAAAAACTATTATTCCACTGTTTAAACATATTGATAGTTTAATCAATATTTGATTGGTTGAGACTATCCCACGTGTCATTGAACAAATCTTCATATTCCATTCTAAGGATCATATTCCCCTCTGAAACGTCGGGATTACTTCGTGCGACGTTACGCGCGGTTAATGTACATACGTTTTGAACTTCTTATTCTTCTTAAAATAGCAATAGCAAAAATCATTATCAGTTCAAATTTATTTGAGACGAGAAAAACAAAAAGACTTATAATTAAATTTTGATCCTTAATGTTTATCAATGGGTATGTCGTGTTTAGTTTGACTTACAAAAACAAGCGGATAAGAAAAAAAATGTATGCAAAATAATATTTAATGTGTTGATAGTAAACAAAGCATAGGCAGTGGAATAAAACATTCATTTCCCTTTGCCTCGGGAGATATGAAGATTTGCTCACCCTCAAAAAATCATATTTCCCTCGGGCAGAGCCCTCGTGAAATATGAATATTCTTGGGAGAACAAATCTTCATATCTCCCTCAAGTACGGGAAATAAATGTATAATGTTTATATGCTCAGGTTTACAAAATTTGGCTTTATCATGAGAGAATTTATTTAGAATTTATGAGATGTAATGACAGTTTAAGTTTGGAGTTATGTGGTTATAAAAATGCAATTTTAAGGATGTACACCTCTGAGGAGCCAAAAATTTCTAGAATTAAACTTTTTTTCTTAACCTGATTTTTGGGTTTATATGACTGTAAGAAAGTAATTGATGAAGAAAAAATCATATTGTGATGTACTTTTTTTTTTTGCTACTGCCATTTGAAAGTACCCCATTTTTAATGATTTTCCCATTTTTCATTAATTTTACCCATTTTTGGCCTATTATCACAAAAAAAATCACAGTTTCACAATTAAACTTTTTTTCATACTTTCACTAAAGATGAAGTGGACCAATCTGAATAAATTTAGCTTAAATAAAATGCTCTGCTGGGGCGCAGCTTGATACGACCGCAGAGGTCGAATCCCTGAACAGTTGGGGCAAGTATGGACACAACATTCAAGCTTGATACAGCACTGAATTTGGATTGTAATTAAATATTTGACACAGCATAGGTTTCTCACACAGAATGAAAGTGGTCTAAGAACTTAAAAATTTTTAATTTACCTATTCAAACCATATCATTATTATTTGCTTTAATATATAAATCAGAAAAAAACAATTTAAAATGGAAAATTTTAAAGAAAAAAAATGAAAAAAAAATTCCCCCAAATTTTTTGAACCCCTTATGATTCATCACCCCCAAACTCAATCTCAGCTTTCCCTTTATGTTTGGTACCTTGCAGTACAATTCAGAGAGATCCATACACTTGAACACAAGTTATTGTCTGGAAACTAGAAAAATGCTTGTTTTTTGGCCCCAAATTCCTAAACATTTAGGGCAATTACCCCCAAACTCAAACCCAGCTTTCCCTTTGTGATATGGAACCTTGCAGTACAATTTCATAAAGATCCATACACTTACACACAAGTTATTGTCCTGAAACTAGAAAAATGCTTGTTTTTTTGCCCTTTTATGGCCCCTAATTACTAAAATTTTGAGGGAATTACCCCAAATATCAATCCCAGCCTTCCCTTTGTGGTATGGTACCTTGCAGTACAATTTCAGAGAGATCCATACATTTGAACACAAGTTATTGTCTGGAAACTAGAAAAATGCTTATTTTTGGCCCCTTTTTGGCCCCTTATTCCTAAAATTTGGAGGCAATTACCCCCAAAATCAATCCCAGCATTCCCTTTGTGATAAGGAACCTTGTGGTACAATGTCAGAGAGATCCATACACTTACACACAAGTTATTGTCATGAAACTAGAAAAATGCTTGTTTTTTGCCCCTTTTTGGCCCCTTATTCCTAAAATTTGGAGGCAATTACCCCCAAAATCAATCCCAGCATTCGCTTTGTGATATGGAACCTTGTGGTACAATGTCAGAGAGATCCATACACTTACACACAAGTTATGTCTAATTCCTTAACTGTGGGTACCATAACCCCCAAAATCAATCCCCACCTTCCTTTTGTGGTATTGAACCTTATGGAAAAATTTCATTGAGATCCATTCACTTAAACTAAAGTTAGAGTGCGAAAACTAATGTGTCTTCGGACGACGATGACTACGACGACGACAACGACGACGCCAACGTCATACCAATATATGACCACAAAATTTTTTTTGCGGTCGTATAAAAACTATAGGTTGGTGTTAATATTAGAAAGTTTTATAAATTTTGTTGCTTTTTCATGTCAAATTGACCATGCTGTCAATTTTGTCAATTTGGGATTTTTCTCTTTTTATAGAACAAAAAGACATATTATTTCAACTTCTTTGTTATAGTTTAGTTTAAGCATATTTTATTTGCTCAAAGCAAAAAAGGATCAGACACAAGATAACATATTTATAAAGTCTTCTCTACAATACAATATATATAACAATACAAATTGAACGTGAGTATGCATCATATAATATAAACAACATAAATATTACTAAACTATACTGAAACTAGAGACTCTAAAGAGCCTGTGTCGCTCACCTTGGTCTATGTGCATATTAAACAAAGGACACAGATGGATTCATGACAAAATTGTGTTTTGGTGATGGTGATGTGTTTGTAGATCTTACTTTACTGAACATTCTTGCTCCTTACTATTATCTCTATCTATAATGAACTTGGCCTGGTAGTTACAGTGGAAAATATTTTGTAAAAATTTACAAAAATTTACAAAATTTATGAAAATTGTAAAAATTGACTATAAAGGGCAATAACTCCTTAAGGGGTCAATTGACAATTTTGGTCATGTTGACTTATTTGTAGACCTAACTTTGCTGTACATTATTGCTGATTACAGTTTATCTCTATCTATAATAATATTCAAGATAATAACCAAAAACGGCAAAATTTCCTTAAAATTACCAATTCAGGCCGGGGCAGCAACCCAACAACGGGTTTTCCGATTCATCTGAAAATTTCAGGGCAGATAGATCTTGACCTGATAATCAGTTTTACCTCATGTCAGATTTGCTCTAAATGCTTTGGTTTCAGAGATATAAGCCAAAAACTGCATTTTACCCCTATGTTCTATTTTTAGCCATGTCGGCCATGTTGGTTGGCAGGCGGGGTCATCGGACACATTTTTTAAACTAGATACCCTAATGATGATTGTGGCCAAGTTTGGTTAAATTTGGCCAAGTAGTTTCAGAGGAGAAGATTTTTGTAAAAGTTAACGGACGACGACGACAGACGACGGACGCCAAGTGATGAGAAAAGCTCACTTGGCCCTTTGGGCCAGGTGAGCTAAAAAGGAGAGGGAATGAGGAAATAACAACAGAGATTAGGATGATGATGATAATGATGATGATGTGCGTTTTACCTATGTTGATACTATACTACGAGGAATCGTTTTGATCTCTTAATGAAATTGAATACTTGTTTAACAATTTGCACATTTTGATCATAGGAAAGAGTTTCTTTTCCAAAAACCAATAGTTTAAAGTCCAACTCGCAGCCTTCAGGAAGCCAGCTGAGACCATTAAAAAGAATAGCCCTTTCATTTAGATAGAAAGGACAAAGGAAAAAATGGTGCATATCCTCAATATCTAAACCACATTTACATGTTGGATCAGATATAATGTTAGCTCTAAACAAGTCACAATTCAAGAAGGATGCCGAACATCTAAATTGGGTTAATATTATATTCAATTTTCTTGGACCATATAAATAATGTTTAGATTGATTCTCATTTCGAATGTCATGGTTTTTTAATTCTACTTTGAATTTTGATAACGAGTCTACATTTCGAACTGATATGTTCAAATTATTCCAAAGTTTAATTGTTGATGGAATAAATGATTGGGAAGTCAGTGTCAGCCTGCAAAATAGTAAAATGATATCTTGTCCATTTCGCAAGGGATATTGTGATGTACTTTGAATTTTAGGGGGCACAAGACTACATAAATATTCAGGAGCATTATTATTCTGAATTTTATAAAATAATTGTAGTTTTCTTCTTTTTCTTCGTTCCTCTAAAGTTTCCCAACCAACCTCTTTTAAGACAGTCTCAGAGTGTGTGAAAACAGGCAAACCTGTTACAATTCATGCAGCTTCAAGTTGTAGCTGTTCTAATTTAATTGAATAACCTTTTCCGCAATTGTCCCATACTTCAGTTGTATATTAAAAAATTGGTCTAATAAATACTAGATATAATTTTTCCAAATTTTGTCGGCTAAGTTGATATTTGAGTTTTCGCAGTATATTCAGATGTTTTTTAACACTATTTAATATATTTTCAACATGGTTGTTCCATTTTGCGTCACTTCTAAATGTAACCCCAAGATGCTTATGAGATCACACAATTGGTATTTTTTTATTGTTCATAGTAAAATTAAGGTCTTGTATCTCATTATTTGAAAACATCATAATTTCTGTTTTTTCAGGATTGAAAGACATAAGCCACTTTCTTGACCATTCATCCAGCTGTCACAGGTAACGACTAACAACTGATTGTATAAGTTCCTCGTCATGACCCGAGTAACTGAATGAAGTGTCATCTGCAAATAGTCTGCATAAAGAAGTTAACTGTTCAGCAATATCGTTAATATATATGATAAACAATAAAGGACCAAGAACGGATCCTTGGGGTACACCAGCTGAAACATTGCAAAAAGTAGAGGATGATTCATTAATGATAACCTTTTGTTTTCTTTGATATAGGTAGCTAGTGAACCAATTTAAAAGATTTCCCTCAATGCCATATGCTTTCATTTTATGTAGTAAACCAATATGCCAAACTTTGTCAAAAGCCTTCAAAAAATCACAAAAAACAAAACAGCAAATTTCTTTTGTTTCTAGTCCATTTAAGATACAATCATAGATTTCTATTAATTGATGCACTATTGAATGTTTTGGCAAAAAACCTGACTGGTATTCATAAATTTAACTTTGTTATAAATCATTGAAAAAATATACATCTAAGAATTTTGAAAAGAAAAATTGATATGGGATCTAGATATTTTTGGTAAAATCATTTTTTGTACCCCTCACCCATTTTCTCAACATTTTGGCTGATGACACTGACCAGATTGGTTATAAAATTTGAAAATTTTATTACTCAAAAACTACTTATTGTTAGTACACAATTTTTTCACAGAGTTTAGTTTAAGATATTTTTTTAAATTCATTAATATTTCCCAATTGTTTTGGAAATGATTCCTGAACGAGATTTCAACGAGACTAAAACATCAGCAGAATACATCCTTAAGGTGTAAAATGTAAAACAGATTTTAAAATTAAAATTCTATTCTATACATCTACTTCAATATCATAATATTGCACTTGTCTTTTGTTAAGGGCAATTTGCCTCTTCTAAATATATATATCTATTGTTGTAGTCACATCTATGCATAATTTTATAGTGTGGCTTTCAGAGTTTACATGATTATCTCAAAATTCTCGAACATATGATTTTGAATTCCAGCAAGAGGTAACAAATTTGTAAGCTTGCTATGTAGTAAAGACACTTCGTGCAAGACTGTTGATCCCTGAATGCCTTCTGGTTTGAATGACATAATATGAATTAAATAGTACTTTAATCTTCCTTTAAACCATTAAAAAGCTTTGTGCATATAGTTTATGCTAGTGTTGAGATAGCATACCAATTGTCTCACTTTTAATAGCAATGGTAACAGATGAGACAAAGACATAACAGAATATCATCCAACCTATAAATGGTTGTGCTTTGTGATTGGTTCAACTTACATATATATATACACATGTATAGCAAAATAATCAAGTATGGAAATATAAGAAAACTTTTGTCAATAAAGAAGATACAATACATTCATAGTGATTGTCTAATTTTTGCTATGTTCCAGGTAGGCATTCAACAGAGAACTTTACCCAATGCAAACATTTAATTGTCCATTTAAATACACAATACACAGCTGTGAAACACGAATAATAAACACAGCAAAGATTAAACTGCCATTACTAAAGCCTAAACTGCTAACAAAACCTGGTGCAAAAATAACCGGATTAGTTTAATCTAAGTAGATCAACTAGTAAGTAAACTAAGAACAATCACATATATGATAAAACCTGAAAAAATATGTTGAGAATGTGTTTTAAAGAATGATAGTTTGAAATGAAAAAATAATGAAGCATTTCTGCAGGTATAATGAAGGAAATAGAAATAAGAAGATGTGGTATGAGTGCCAATGAGACAACTCTCCATCCAAGTCACAATGTGTAAAAAGTAAACAATTATAGGTCAAAGTACAGCCTTCAACACAGAGCCTTGGTTCATTTTCCACCAGAACAGATGACAATAATCATTTATGTATACAGTACCGCTGCTGACTGATGGAACAGCTTTCCCAAATGAGCCTTGTAATGTACTCCACTCCTTTTCATACCCTGGCACAGACAGCAGATAGTCAAAGTCAGATCTTTTTATGGTACCTCTAAGTAGCTGAAACAGATTAAAAATAAAAATCGGTCTTTAAAATGCAGAGTAGCTGAAACAGTAGTTTCAACTTAAACATGAGTGCAAACCTTGTTTAACAGGAATGGTTCTTTAATTCAACCAAAATATGAATGAGATATTTTTATAATGATTCATTATAATTATGTCAATTTCAATTGACTTATTTGTAGAATAAATTCTGTTGGTTTTTATTCCTTTTTCTCTAAAAATAATAAAAAAAAACAACTTAATGTCAATTTTATAAAGTCACAGATCCATGGAAATGATAAAAGTCAACTAACATTTGTCAGAGGGTAATGTCACACTATATGGGATGTTTAATAAGTTATAAAAAAGTTGGATTACCTACTACTTAATCCTTCTTAGACATAAAGCATTGTTCATTCATTTTATTCTGTTTTTCAAATAGCTTGTCTGTTTTCCATCTTTACTAAAAATGGTTGCGAGCACGGTAAAAATGAAAAAAAAAATCATCACACCTGCAAACAGTTCTGAAGATATTATTCAACAGCTATGCCATGAGCACACAATACGCTCTTATTGTGCACATTGAAATTGTTGCAAGAATAAAATGGGATATTTCCATGGCATTTAATCATAAGCAAATAAAATGGCTCCGTAGACAAACATGCCTGAGGATACTGTTTTCAAAGTCAACAGTTTGGTATATTTACCAATTCCAACAATTATGTAACGTTTCCACTAAATCAATCCAAGCAAAATCAAGTTATGGTACAATATGTGAAAAATTTCCAAAAATCTGACAATTAAAGTTCTATTACTCTGGAGCAACAAACTGACAAATTAAAAAAATCAAAAAAGGAGCTTTCTTTCATTCATCCCCACAAAAATGTAAAGTTCGGAGGAAATCAATCCATGAAAACTGATATTAGTGAGCAATTTGTGAAAAATTTAAATGTAATAGTTTTAGTACCGTAACTCTGTAAAGACGAACCAGAAAATAAAAAAAAAATCACAAGGGTGCTTCCTTTCTTCAATCCCCACATTAATTTAAAGTTTGAAGGAAATCAATTCAGGAATTCTTTAGTTAGTGCGGGATTTGTGAAAAATTGCCTTAAATCTAAGGGTCAAAGTTCCGTAACTCTAGAATGACAAAGCCAAAAATAACAAGAGTGCACTTGCTGAAATGTCTCGCCTGCTTTACTACCATTGATTTCATCTTCATAGCCCTAATTATAAAGTTTTACTACAAGTATCACATTAACTTAACATGATCCAAGAAAATGAGGTCAAGGTCAGATAAACCAAGCCAGAAATACATGTACACCTTACAATCATTCCATACATTGAATATTGCTGACTTATTGCTTATAGTATACAAGAAACAGACAAAACCATGAAAACTTTATACTGACCAATGAACCATGAAAATGAGGTCAAGGTCACATAAACCCTGCCAGACAGACAAAGGACATATGACAGACGGACCTTCATATAACATAAGGCATCTATATACAAAGTATGAAGGATCCAAGTCTTCTACCTTCTGAAATATTAAGCTTTAAAGTAGTTAGTTAACGCCGCCGCTGGATCAATTTCCCTATGTCAAGCTTTCTGTGACAGAATCGCAGGCTCCACAAAAAAAAGGGAGCTTTATTCTGTTAATCCTAATGTTGTGATAAAGTTATATAAGAATTGGTTAAAGTGAATTTGAGTTATCGTAGTGTCAACATACGGACAGACTGACATTGGTAAACCATAATATATCCCATCTTTGAGGAGTGTTGTTTTACCACGATAAACTTACCATCTTCATGATATCATCTCCACCAGCTTGATAAGCTCCAAGTTTTAGAGCAAGATTAATTTGGTCTTTTTCCTGAAATAAATAGATTTTTTTGTATATCAAAAGTAAAAGAAGCCATTTGGTTTTTTTTATGATATCAGATGACTAATCTACAATAATACACTAGTATGCAATAAGAATGACCATTTGGAGCGTCTACTCTCTAAATTCAATTATATTCTCTTCTAGTATTCAGACAGTGAAATGGGAATGGCAGGGTTTGTAAGTTATAAGTTTTGCTTTTTATAATATTTAATATTTCTAGTAACTATCTCATTATTATAACTGTTTTTTTTTTTAATTTCTATATTTTGTAATTTACTGTAATACTAACTTTAAAAAAAAATCACATTTTCTTTCTTGACCACTTACATATTGTGTATTTGTTTTTCATTGGTTAATACAGAAAAAAATAATGTATAAAATTATGCCTTCTTTTTAATAATCATTTTCTGTATTCTTTTATCATGTGTTTAATAAAATAAATAGTATAAACTCTTACAGTACAAACAACAATTATCTTCTTCTTTACTCCAATGTCAAACAGATGGGGTGGTACTAGAGTCGATTTAAAAGGTGATAAAAACTTTGTCTGAAAGAAATAATATTGAGATGTAGCTGTACATCAAAATCAATGCTGTCTGTAGAAAATTCAAAACTATTTTAAAAGGCAGAATATAACAAATCCTGCAATAATGTAATAAAGAGCTGCACCATGAGCACATGATATGCCCATCGCTTTTTCAAAGAATAAAGTTCCATAACTCCTCAATGTCATATCAGAAATTTATAAAAAACTACAGGGAGGTTATTTTAATAGATATAAACCAGTCACCAAAGTTTCATGAAAACTACTCAAAGCACTTTTGAGTTATTGTCCAAAAACTGGAAAATCCCCCTTTTTAATGAATAAAACCCCACTCGGAAACGTAAAATCTAAAATTTATAAAAATCAAAAGGGAGCTCAAATATAAACAATTCAGCAAAGTTTCATGCAAATTGATTAAAGCATTTTTGAATTATTGTCCGACATGTTGACTACGGACGGACTGATGGACAGACAGACGGACAACGGTATACCATAAAACGTCCCGTAAACAGGCGTATAAAAACACAATTACTGGTAATCTGGTAATCTGTAATTACAGTACACAACACTACAAAACACTAACCTATTCTGATATTTCTCTATACCTAAATGAAAACCAATAGTAGCATTCATTTTCAGTTTAACAAACTACTGAACTGTATCGTGGCAACAGATGAAATTTTCATACCGTATCTTGCGAACTATTGAATACTGTTAACAAATAATTTTTGTTGAGCTCCCTTTACTTTCTGCTATGTTACCAATTTAACATTACGGATAAAAGGAGATGTGTGTGGTATATGTATATGAGACATCAACCGCACATCACTTATTTATAAAAAAAAAAGACACCAGCAACTTTGGTATATGTCATGTCTGTTTTAAATTCCACATACAGAAGACTTTGGGATGATTAAGGCAACACTTCAATAGTTACAAATGGTCAAAATGTTCAATGAAACAAGCATTCTGAGAGTATTGCATGACAATACATAGTCCCCTACTGGGTAAAAATTCATTATACTGGAACAAAATGCTAACTTGTTCTATAACTTGTCATGGTGTAAACAAAAAGTAAATATCATATCAATATCTTCAAGCATGACTAAAAACAGTGTTGAAAACTGATTATATGAGTGAATTTTTCAAGTCCAAGGACCATAACTCTGCACAAAATTATTAAACCGAAACAAATTTTGAACTTGATCTGTAACTTGTCATGATAAAACTATATACCAATTATCAATCAATATCTTGTAAGCATGATGAAAAAAACATTAGATATGATGTAATACAGTGTATATCTATTTTCAAATTATAATCAGATATAATTAATAGTTCCAAATATTTGTTTCTTTCATTTGTCACAAACTAATATACATTTGTAACTTATCTATAAAATGTCAACAACTTTTATCTACACAATGTAATGTATTGAAATATATACATTAATAAAAATAGATTATTATCTAATTAAAGGATTTCTCTTCATAATTTTTTTTTTATATATATAACATTCAGAAAATTAGTTTATACTAAATAACAAACAAACCTGTCAAAAAATTCTTCAAATAATTTAACAAAGAATGTCTTTTAAAAAATGATTTATCTCCCTTTGAACAGAAATATGGTTTAACATAGTACTCTAACATTAGATATGGTCCAGAGTTATGGTCCATAACTCTGGACTAAATCATCAGACCAGAACAAAATTCGAACTTGATCTATAACTTGTCATGATAAAACTATATACCAAATATCAAATCAATATCTTCAAGAACGAAGAAAAAAAGTGTGGAAAGCTGTTTTGCCGTACTGACAGATGGACAGACGGACAGACGGACGGAGTGCAAACCTAAAGTCCCCTTCGACTTCGTCGGTAGGGGACTAATAAATGAGCAAACTGACATCAGATGGAGGTAAACAATCAAATATGTGTTGTACAAGTAAGCTAAAATGAAGTTAACAGAAAACTTCAATATATTTGTAAAATAATATAAATTTGATAGTGGATGTTAAGCAAACAATAATATGCTCCGCTGGGCGCAGCTTGATACGACCGCAGAGGTCGAACCCTGAACAGTTGGGGCAAGTATGGACACAACATTCAAGCTTGATACACACTGAATTTGGATTGTGATTAAATATTTGACACAGCATAGGTTTATGACACAGAATGAATGTGGTCTAAGAACTTATAAATTTTTAATTTACCTATTCAAACCATATCATTATCATTTGCTTTTATATATAAATCAGAAATAACCAATTTAAAATGGAATATTTTAAAAGAAAAAAAAAGGAAAAAAAGGAAAAAAAAAATCCCTCCCCCAAAGTTTTTTGAACCCCCTTATGATTCATCACCCCAAAACACAATCCCAGCCTTTCCTTTGTGGTATGGTGCCTTGCAGTACAATTTCAGAGAGATCCATACACTTGAACACAAGTTATTGTCTTGAAACTAGAAAAATGCTTGTTTTTAGGCCCCTTTTTGGCCCCAAATTCCTAAACGTTTAGGACAATTACCCCCAAACTCAATCCCAGCCTTCCCTTTGTGGTAAGGTACCTTGCAGTACAATTTCAGAGAGATCCATACACTTGAACACAAGTTATTGTCTGGAAACTAGAAAAATGCTTATTTTTGGCCCCTTTTTGGCCCCTTATTCCTAAACGTTTTGGGCAATTACCCCCAAACTCAATTCCAGCTTTCCCTTTGTGATATGGAACCTTGTAGTACAATTTCAGAAAGATCCATACACTTACACACAAATTATTGTCATGAAACTAGAAAAATGCTTGTTTTTTGCCCCTTTTTTAGCCCCTAATTCCTAAAATTTTGAGGCAATTACCCCCAAAATCAATCCCAGCATTCCCTTTGTGATATGGAACCTTGTGGTACAATGTCAGAGAGATCCATACATGTCAGAGAGGCCCCTAATTCCTTAACTGTTGGTACCATAACCCCCAAAATCAATCCAAACCTTCCTTTTGTGGTATTGAACCTTATGGTAAAATTTCATAGAGATCCATTCACTTAAACTAAAGTTAGAGTGCGAAAACCAATGTTTCTTCGGACGACGACGACAACGACGACAACGACGCCAACGTCATACCAATATACGACCGCAAAATTTTGTTGCCGTCGTATAAAAATCAATCAATCATTAAATAATATAATCATTGCAAAGTTGTAAAAAATTTAGGTGCCATGACAATTAAAAAAATTTCAGTATCCACTGTATTCACTGATAATATCATGCCAATATTGTTAAATATGCAATATTTACCTTTTTACTTGTTCTGAGACTGATTTCCATATCAGCATAAATTCTAGAATCCAGCTGGTCAAACATAGCAGGTTGGGCATATTCCTTATGTCTCTTGATTATCTCCCCTAATGAGTATTCAGGTACTGGATAGTGTGTACTTATCCAAACATCATCTAATGGCTTTTCACCATAATAATTTTGTACTATACTTTGTCTGAAAAGAAACAAATATCCTGGCAATAAAAAGATCCTACATTTCAATATTATCTGTTTCCTACTCTTTTATAAATTCAGAGTTGTTCTAAGTAAAATCAGTTTTAACCTAAAACAAGATATCACTAAGGACTTTATATTTTTTCACTGATGCAAAGTATATGTTGCCTTGTTTTACCTTGTGGTTAAGCAAATGATACTCATTCTGATGGAGAAAATAAGCAATTTCAAATTCACAGCAGTAGTATAAGACCTTCTAAGGTTGATACTGAAACTACAATACTAAAAATTTGTAAGGGGTTCTGCAGAACCCTGTGTCTCACTTGCAATTGCTGCTGTCAGTGTAAAAGTGTGATGTTGACTTAAAAAGTGAGTCCATTTATCAGTGAAATAAAGAATTTAAAGAAAAATTCAAACTTAGATGCTATTTCATGGTCTTGAAGATTAGCTTCTGTCCAAGTTTCATAACAATCCATGAAGGTTTACAAATTTATCATGTCAAAAAAGTTAAACCCAGACTGTCTGTAAATGTTAACTGTAAAAAACTAAGTCCATCTATCAGAAAATACTGAAAATGAAAAAAATATATTTTCAAAAGTTAGCTTTAAATATTATCTCTTAATTATAATAAACTGTTATCACAGAGATATGTCTCGCCTTTTTGTAATTTTGATAATGCAAATGTTGAAATTAAAATAGCAATACTTTAACATGTAAGTTATGCAAATATTCAAAGTCGATGAACCATGACTGAAGGTACATGGCTAAACAATCTCCATGGAATGAGATGTGCCAATGCTAATACAACTGCATACCAAATACCATTGACTTATTATAAGTCGTTCCCTTTAAACAAACCTAAACACAAACTTTTACTTGTAAACTATGTAAAAGTTTCAAGGTCAATGAACCATGATCAGGAGTTGGGCTATATAATCTCCATGGAAACGATACTTGCAAATGCCAATAAATTTGCATACCAAATATCATTGACTTAACATTAGCAGTTCAACTTAAACTGATCTAATCACAAACTAATACAGGTAAACTAAGCAAAAGTTTCAAAGTAAATAGACCATGACTGAGGGGGCGGGGCCAAATATTCTCCATGGAAATGAGATGTGCTAATGCTTATACAACTGAACACCAATTAACATTGGCCTACCACTAATGGTTCCCCTTGAACTGACCTAATCACAAACTAATACATGTTAACTTAGCAAAATTTTCAGTCTATAGACCATGACTAAGGGGGCGGAGCCAAATAATCTCCATGGAAATGAGATATGCCAATGCTTATACAACTGCATACCAAATATCATTGAACTACCACTAGTGGTTCCCCATAAATGGACCTAATCACAAACTAATACATGTAAACTATGAAAAGTTTCAAAGTCAATAGACCTTTACTGAGGGGGCAGGGCCAAATAATCTCCATGGTAATGAGATGTGCTAATGCTAATACAACTGCATACCAAATATCATTGACCTACCACTAGTGGTTCACCATGAACTAGACCTAATCACAAACTAATACATTGTTGACGCCGCCGTCGTCATCGCCGCCGCCGCCGCCGGAAACAGCATACCTTAGTCTCGCTTTTTGACTCCGTCAAGGCGAGACAAAAAAGCTTCTGCCAAAGTTTCATAAATTTCTATGAAGGTTTGATAAAGTAATTGATTTCTAACAAACTTAAACCCCATACTGAATCTATTTGTTAAATGTATAAAAAAAATTAAGTCAATTTATCAGTTATATACGGAAAAATGAAAATAAGTATTTTCAAAATTTTGCTCTGAATACTGTATTTTGGTCATAACTAAGCTTCTTTCCAAATTTCCTAAAATTCCATTCAGGTTTGATAAAGTTATTGATGTCTGAAAAACTTTAACCTCAGACTGTATCTTCTTGTCAATTGTAAAAAAAACTAAGTCCATTTATCAGTAAAATACAGAACAAGAGTGCACACGCTGAAATGTCTCGCCTACTATACTGACCATTGATTTTATGTTGACATTCCTAAATATGAAGTTTTACTACAAGTATCACATTTAAAATATTTATGATCCAAGAAAATGAGGTAAAGGTCAGATAAACCAAGCCGGAAATACATGTACACCTTTAATACAATCATTCCATACACTGAATATAGATGGCCTATTGCTTAAAGTATAAAAGAAACAGACCAAACTACATGTATTGAAATTATATATTGACCAATGAACCATGAAAATGAGGTCAAGGTCAGATGAACCCTGCCAGACAGACATGAACACCTTAAAATCATTCCATGCATCAAATATAGTTGACCTATTGCTTATAGTATCTAAGAAACAAAGTTAAACAGGAAAACTGAACATTGACCAATGAACCATGAAAATGAGGTGAAGGTCAGATGATACCTGCCAGACAGACATATACACCTTACAATCATTCCATACACCAAATATAGTTGACCTATTGCTTAAAGTTTAAGAAAAACAGACCAAAACACAAAAACTTAACATTGAGCAATGAAAAATGAAAATGAGGTCAAGGTCAAATAAAACCTGCCAGACTGACATGTACATCGTGAAATATTTCCATACACCAAATATAGTTGACCTATTGCATACAGTATTGAAAAAAAGCGGACCAAAACACAAAAACTTAACTTTTGCCACTGAACCATGAAAATGGGGTCAAGACACCGAAGACAGAATCTAGGATCACTGTCTCGCTTTCCCAAACTAAATTTCGCAGACTCAACAAAAATACAAATGGGTTAAAACATTTTGTGTTTTGGCAATCAAAAAAAAAAACGTCAGTTAATGCATTTTGAAACAAGCAAAAGTGCTTATAATTGTCACTTTCTCTTCCTGTTGTATGTGTGAAATCAGAGACATATATATACATATCAGACTATATTATATATGTGTATATATATATGTCTCTGATAATATCTATCATCGTTTCCCCTGAATCTGCAATTTGTTAACTTCAACTATTATTACAAAGTGAAATCAGTAAACCATATGAGGAAACTAATTCACTAAACTGTAAAACCTACTGTTTCTTCTTTTTTGCTTTACTTCCAACAGTGTTTGTAGATCCTTGAATGTTTGGAACCAGGCTAATCTCTGGAAACAGAACTTTTTGAGATCCAGAACGATCCCCCGTCTTTGAACTAGAGTCATCTGTTTTTAATTTCAGTTTCTGTTTATTACCCTTAAACCTTTTCTGGATAACCATCACCGGGAAGACTCCTCTTCTTTCCATGCATTTCGCAACAATCCTTGCTGAATTTATTTTTGATGATACTGTAAAAGTAAAAATACAAAACTTTAACCCTATCACAGGTCAAATAAAATGTAACTATGTTGAAAAATCTAAGATGTACCTGTTATATTTTTCCTCCATGTGTTCAGTTTTAGATTTTTTTGTATACGAAGAATTCATCTTTAATAAAAACTTCATTTTATGTCAAAGTGATGTTTAATACCTGATTTCCTGAAAAATTCTTCAATATTCATCCATACGTCTTCAAAAATTGACAGATGAAAATCCAGAATTCTAAAAACAGAGGGGGACACTAAGGACTTGTTAGGAGGTAAGGAGTGGAACTTGTAATCTATATGCATTGACCATATATGTAATCATAAGGGGATTCCCATTTATAAACAAACTGTTCTAAACTAATAAAATAAACCTTAAAAAGACACCATCACCTCTCATCATTTTTATATATTAAATGAACACTGTACTATTTTTAGTAAAATATTTACTGAGATAAAATTCCAGGCTTTGCCCAGCTTTTAAGGAAACATGGGAACCCTACAATATTCTTTACAAAAGAGTCCCTTAAAGCATCAACAGGAACCAATTTAATACCTGTTACTACATTCAAAACAGTTATAATTAATCTTAATGACACAATTACGGAAATGTATTTTGAAAATCATAACTTAATTCTATGAAATGTTTATTTGATTTCCCAATGGCAATCATTAATTCCATCTATTTGATAATTAATTCATGAAAATTCAAGTCATGTTGATTGCTTTATTGCATTATTAAAAACAGTTTCGAGAACATTTCTGTCTACAACATAAAAGTTATTTGCAAATCACTAATGCAATGGGATAGATAGTTTCTTTTTTGTAGGACCACTACTGTAAGTAGCATTTTCAGTAAACTGTTTCATACCAGTAAATTATGTACTGTAGCAAAACTGATTTTAATTTCATAAAAGTAAATACTTTTATCCTCCAAAAAGTCATAAGATGATTTTTAAAATAAAGGTTTGAAAAAAAATTCCTGATGCAAATGCCAATGAGACAACTCTCCACAAGAGACCAAATGACATAAAAGTTAACATCTATAGGTCACCGTACAGCCTTCAACAATAAGCAAAACTCAAACCGCAAAGTCAGCTGTAAAAGGCCCCAAAATGACAAATGTAAAACAAATCAAACGAGAAACCAGCGTCCTTATTTATGTACAAAACAATGAACAAAACACAAATATGATATAGAGCAACAAACGACAACCACTGAATAACATGCTCCTGACTTGGAACTCGGGACATACAAAATGTGGCAGATTTAAAGTAGCCTATCAAAACTGAGGTTTTGAGTTCGAATCCTGCATGTGACAGGTGCATTCGAGTCCAATCTTGTTTGACTAGGATTGTCAGTTTTCCTACCAAAAAACATTCGAATTAATGTCTCATCTAATGAAAATACTATATTTGAAAACAAGAGTGCACACGCTGAAATGTCTCGTCTTCTTTACTTACCATTGATTTTATGTTGATAGTCCTAAATACAAAGCTTTACTACAAGTAACACATAAACTTAACATGATCCAAGAAAATGAGGTCAAGGTCAGATAAACCAAACGAGAAATACATGTACACCTTACAATCATTCAATAAACCAAACTTAGTTGACATATTGCTTATTGTTTCTAAGAAACAGTCTTAAACAAGAAAACTTAACATTGACCAATGAACCATGAAAATGAGGTCACGGTCAGATGAACCATGCCAGACAGACATGTACACCTTACAATCAATTAAGGCATTAAAAATAGTTGACCTATTGCTTATAGTATCTAAGAAACAAACTTAACCATGAAAACTTAACATTGACCAATGAACCGTGAAAATGAGGTCAAGGTCAGATGATACCTGCCAGACAGACATATACACCTTACAATCCTTCCATATATCAAATATAGTTGATCTATTGCTTAAAGTTGAAGAAAAAAAGACCAAAACACAAAAACTTTACACTGAGAAATGAACCGTGTAATGAGGTCAAGGTCAAATAAAACCTGTGAGACTGACATGTACATCATAAAATATTTCCATACACCATTTATAGTTGACCTATTGCATATAGTATTAGAAAAAAAGACCAAAACTCAAAAACTTAACTTTGACAACTGAACCATGAAAATGAGGTCAAGGTCAGATGACACCTACCAGTTGGACATGTACACCTTACAATCATTCCATATACCAAATATAGTAGACCTACTGCTTATAGTATCTGATATATGGACTTGACCACGAAAACTTAACCTTGTTCACTGATCCATGAAATGAGGTCGAGGTCAAATGAAAATTGTCTGACGGGCATGAGGACCTTGCAAGGTACGCACATACTAAATATAGTTATCCTATTACTCATAATAAGAAAGAAATTAACATTACAAAAAATGTTGACTTTTTTTTCAAGTAGTCACTGAACCATGAAAATGAGGTCAAGGACAATGGACATATGACAGACGGAAACTTCGTAACATAAGGCATATACAAAGTATGAAGCATACAGGTCTTCTAGCTTCTAAAATATAAAGCTTTTAAGAAGTTAGCTAACGCCGCAGCTGCCGCCGCTGGATCACTATCCCTATAGATGTGGAGCTTTCTGCGACAAAAGTCGCAGGCTCGACAATGACTGAAAGACTCAAGGGCACCATTTTTTATCATCCACCATTGCTATACACCTAATCACTTTTAAGTCCAATCCAGAAAAAAAACAGTAACCTAGACCACTTCCTGTTTGGGTCATGTGTCGTGAAAACAAAGGTCATCAGTAATGAGCTGAGGGAGGAAAAGTTCAGTCTACAGATTATGATCCAATATTTTAAAACACAAATCTGTCATAAACGGTCTCACTAATTAGCGCCAAGAAGTGAAAAGAAGAAAAAAATAGCGACATGAAGGAAAAAATTACTGACAAGAAGAAAAAATTAGCAACAAGAAGACAAATTTAGCGACAAGAAAGTTTATATTCTATCAATACAATAAATTTATGAAAAAAAGTCAATTAATTACAGGTTGTTATAACTGTTTTATAAACTTTCAAATTTTGTTGAATTTAGTAGCTATGCTGTTTTGTAGTGAATTTTTAGTAAAAATGAAAACATTTCAAAGTATTAAGGAATCTTAACATTTTGTTACAATCCCAGAAGCATTATGGTGTCACAACAGTGAAGTAGTCTTGATAAATAAATTATGTAAATAAAAGCACATGGCAGTTACTCTAAATATAAGAGCATACAGGATGAGCTAATCCTTCCATCATCTGATTATCTGTGTCCATAAAGAATGGCTTAAAGATTTAAGAACAAAGAAATTATCTCCCCCCTTTTTCATTCATTCATGCATTCACTTATACACTACATATAATTTGTAAATTGTAAATATATTATCTTAAACATATCCTCGATAATAAAAAAAAAAAAAAAAATCTTTTCTTGAACAAATGTTCATTTTCTTCTATTAGTATAAAAAAATAATTTAAAAAATACACGTATATTAAAAAAATTAAAATGCTTCGCTGAGCGCAGCCTGATACGACCGCAGAGGTCGAACCCTAAACAGTTGGGGCAAATTTGGACACAATATTAAAGCTTGATACTGTCTGAATTTGGATTGTGATCAAATTTTTGACATAATATAGGTTTCTGACACAAAATAAATGTGGTCAAAGATCTTACAAATCTATTGCACAATACTGTGCAATTGAAGATACTTCTTGAAACTTTTCAAAAATTCGAAATTTGAAAAATAAAAAAAAAAAATATGAATCCTTTAAAAAAATTGTAAACAAAAAATCCCCCCCCCAACTTATTGAAACACCCCTTAGAGCAATAACCCCAAAACTCAATCCCAGCCTTTCCTTTGTAGTATGGAATCTTGTAGTATAATTTCAGAGAGATCCATACACTTAAACACAAGTTATTGTCTCGAAACTTGAAAAATGCTTCTTTTTGGCCCTTTTTTGGCCCCTAATTCCTACATGTTTGGGACAATTAACCCCAAACTCAATCCCAGCCTTCCCTTTGTAATATGGAACCTTGTGGTACAATGTCTGAGAGATCCATACACTTACACACAAGTTATTGTCCGGAAACTAGAAAAATGCTTGTTTTTGGCCCCTTTTTGGCCTTTAATTCCTAAACTGTTTGCCCCATAACCCTTAAAATAAATCCCAACCTTCTACTTGTAGTATTAATCATTGTGGTACAATTTCAGAGCAATTGAAATACTTATACACAAGTTATTGTCCTGAAACTAGATAAATGCTTGTTTTGGGCCCCTTTTGGGCCCGTAATTCCTAAACGGTTGGGACCATCATCCCTAAAATCAATCCCAACCTTCCTTTTGTGGTATTGAACCTTCTAACAAAATTTCATAGAGATCCATTCACTTAAACTAAAGTTATTGTCCGGAAACAAATGTGAAATTGAGAATGGAAATGGGGAATGTGTCAAAGAGACAACAACCCGACCATAGATCAGACAACAGCCGGAGGCCACCAATGGGTCTTCAATGCAGCGAGATACTCCCGCACCCTGGCGTCCTTCAGCTGGCCCCTAAACAAATATGTATACTAGTTCAGTGATAATGGACGCCATACTAAACTCCAAATTACACACAAGAAACTAATATTAAAAATGATACAAGACTAACAAAGGCCAGAGGCTCCTGACTTGGGACAGGTGCAAAAATGCGGTGGGGTTAAACATGTTTTTTGAGATCTCAACCCTCCCCCTATACCTCTAGCCAATGTAGAAAAAACAAACGTACAACAGTACGCACAGTAAAACTCAGTTCAAGAGAAGTCTGAGTCCGATGTCAGAATAGGAAACAAAAGAAAATAAACAAAATGACAATAATACATAAATAACAACAGACTTCTTCGGACGACGAAGACATCATACCATTATACGATCCCAAAAATTTTTTTGCTGTCGTATAAAAACACTTTAATGCATGTTTCTATCTATATTTATTTGAAATAATTAT